TTTAAAAGAATAATATCAATCCTTACTTATAACTTATAAATGTAGAAATACAAATATATATTATATATATATATATATATAAATGTATTTAATATATCAATGCCAATATACAAATTATACAAAAAGTTATAAACAATTTTTTTTTTAATTTTATCATTGAAAAAATAAATAACATCTAAATTTATATTTTCAACTATTTTTCTATAATCTCCTTTCGACATATTTTTTCCATCGTTCTAAGACTTTAAAGATGCCTTTGTGGAAAAACTTTATTCTTCTAACTGTCCAAAGCGAAAGCATCTTCAAACTGCCAGAACAATGGGAAAAAAATGTGTCGAAAGAAATGAGCATAACATAGAAAAATAGTTCAAAATATTGGCAAATTCATACACACACACATACTACTTCAAGTTTGCTATTTAAATACATTCAAATGTGTAAAAAATAAGCTGGTTAATAAGATATAATTTTTAATATATAATATCTAATATAATTTTAAATATACTTATAACTATAATATATTTAGCTATAAACATAAAAAATATACAACAATAAATTAATCCATATTTTAATGAAAAAAAATTACCTCTTTTGGCTTCAGGCCAGTATAACAGAACATTCCAATTTGATCGGTAATGTGAGACCAATCACGAATGCTGCCATTTCTCTTCAAATTATCACTGAGCTTTGTGCGAACCGAAATGATGCGATCGGCCATACCTTTAACGTCGCGCAACCATTCCTTTCGCAATTCCGGATTGCCGAGAATTTCATTGACTATACGAGCTCCGTAGATTGGTGGATTCGAATACATTGGCCTAATGACAATCTTCAATTGCGACAAAGTACGAGCAGCCTCCTCCTTGCTGTCTGTTACCAAACTGAACGCACCAACGCGTTCGCCTGAGAAAATAAGACAATTTTGCAAAAGTTGTTCTTTTATCTATACATATTTATAATCTAAAAATTATACATACATATATATATATATATATATAATTACTAAAGTTACTTAACAATTTAATATTTAATCCTATATAACATTATTTTTTGTATTTGAGTCTAAAAATTTCTTATACATACCATAGAGACCCATATTTTTTGCATAAGATTGAGCCAAAGCGATTTTGTGTCCTCTTTAATGAACAGTCTGACTGCGAAGGCATCTCTTGTAAGATCGCCTGTAGAAAAATAGATCAAGATAATAAAATAATAATTACAATAATGTGTTAATATCTTTAATTTTAGTTTACAATTTTTTAAAGAAAGTTTTCTTTTAAATTTTATTTAATTCTACAGTTTTATGTAATAAATATACAGTTACATTTTATATTAAAGAAAGATCTTTAGACACTAGTGTATTAAAAAGAATTTTTCTTTTTATTATATAAAAAAAAAAAAAAAAAAAAATTATATTTATAATTTTTGCGCATTATTTTCATTTATATATTTATTTATGTAACAATGCATGAAGAAGAAAGGAATTGTCAGTAAATTTTAAAGTTTAAAAATACCTGAAGCAAAGCCTTGATATGCCATGTCGAAAAATGGAAATAGATTTTTTTCTTGATCAAAGTGGACAATTGTGCCCATTGCTCCGCTTTAGGATCAACACCAGTGGGATTGTGAGCACATGCATGCAATAGGATAATCGATCTCTCAGGAATGCTCTGTTGATAGACACATCGTATTAATAGTAAAATATTAATTCTTTCAGAATTCTTATAACATTAATAATATGATGTAAAACACTAATATTAAACATGCAACATTTCTTGTAAGTTTCTCATTATTAATTATATATACATTTACATTTACGTATATTTATATATTTATTAAAAAGAAAATTAATATTCAACATGTTTATTCTTGTATTAATCAATATTAGTTATTGTAATTTTATAATGCCAAATTTTTTGGGACTCTGATATTTATCTTTTAAACATTCTCTGTTAATGCAAGTGTATATTGGGAAATCTATTTATTAGAAATCTTGTGTGTGTACTAACAGATATGTCTTCAACTACTCCTTTAAAATCCAAGCCACAAGTTTTTGAATCATAGTAACGATAAGACTTTACTGTAAGTCCAGCAAGCCTGAATAAAGGACTATGATTTCCCCATGAAGGAGTTGGAAGATAAACCTCTTTATTACCAGGAAAATGATGAGATAAAAATTGTGCTCCGACAAATAGAGAACCAGTACCAGAAATTCCTTGAACCGTCGCATTCTAAAGAAAGAAGTTCGTATAAAGAAAAAGCTTTATATTATTGCTTTAATATTTAAATAATCTTTATTTTATTGTAATATTTACCAATCCATTTGTAACAACTTCATTTCCATCTCCAAGAGCCAGATTAATACTGTGCTCGCAAAATTCAGCATTGCCAGAGATTGTAGAATATTCCTTGTCCATTTCTTTAATTCGAATTTTTTCTTCTGCCTATCACGAAAATATACTTTTATTATATGTTATAATAATTTTATTTTATTGTGTTTAATATTTATTATTATATTGTTATTATTTATAATAGATAATGTCTAATGTTATCTTTGTATACATCTGTATTTGCCAATGCATGCAAATGCTCATGTGTTTTTTTTCTTAACACAATTGGAATATTATTTATAACTAACCTTACGAACACTAGGAAGAACATATGGTTTGCCATTGTCATCCCTGTAAGCGCCAGCACCCAAGTTGATCTTTTTGGGATTTTGATCTTTCTTAAATGCCTCAGTAACTCCCAAAATAGCATCTGGTGGTCCCATCTCTACATGAGACCACCATGAGCTACAACATATAAAATTATTTTCTTTTTCCTTTCTCTCTCTCTCTCTCTCTCTCTCTTTCTCTCTGTCACGTCTTACATATTGCCATTATCTTCAATTTTCTATCAGAAAAATAAGATGCTTATAAGAGCAAATTACTAAAAATCAAACGACACAGATATAGTTATTAAATTAAATAATAAATTTACAGATCACTATAGAAATTATAAAATGATAAAAGTACAAAAATTTTTAATTTTTAACCTCTAATTTAAATTAAAATAAAAATGCATTTGTACTTATTAAATTCTTTTTTTTATTCTTTTAGATATAAAACTAAATGTATATTTAGTTACTTATAAGAGAGAAAAAGTGAAGAAATATGATAAAAATAGGAACAGTACACTTTTAAAAAAAGAAGTTGAAACAAACATCTCTCAATAATTAAATCTTATATTGTCAAGAATGTAATTAATTTAAATCGTAGATGATCAAAATTCCAAAATAACAAATTTAATTTGATTTTTAAGAAAAACATTCAAAAAAAATTATTTTGCAAGGTCGAAAGGTCATTCGTCTTGTATATCGAATGTTAAACGATTTTACCTAGAGAATCTCACAGCCATCGGCTGTAGATTACAACCTCCCTTCAGAAACTTGCCGGTCATCACGAGGAATCTCGTAGTATGTGCCATTTGGAATATTTTTCACAATTCTGTTAAAATTTCTTTTAACCTAAATATGATTTAACCTCGCAACGTCGAATGCGAACTGGATTCTGCACTAATGTTATCTCTAATCTATGCTCAAGATTAAACTCTATGGCAGAGTTTCCATGAGCGCGTCACGAGTCGCGTCAGCCATCCCATCAACGATTAACCAATCAAAACATCTCATTGTCTGAATTTGTCCGAATTTTCGGACCGAGAAATATGAAATATGTAGTCAATAAAGGTACCTTTTCATGTATCGCTCATTGCTCGTTTTCGGCGATATTGGCCTAGTTTAACATCAAACACTTGATACGCGTATCAAATCGTCAATTACTAGTAAATTGGTTCAGTTATTAGCTGACCAGTTCAAATACACTAATTATATACACATATCAAGTGCTTGATGTAAACTAGGCCATTAACAAGTGTGAAAGACAACTTTGAAATTTATGAATCAAATGGATAATGAAAGTGTAACATATTCAATCTACAAAAAATATTTAATTTAATGAAAAATTATTATTCGCTCGTGTATAATGTTTAAACAATCCGCATATAAGTAAGCGAAAAAATTACGAAAGGATATCTTTTTTAACATTTGACTAATTAATAATTGTATTAACCACTCACAGTGCACACCGAAAATAACAATAATTTCTCGCAAACAAACGATGAAATTTCACAGGATAATTTTTCAAGAACGATCTCATCATAGCGAATACGCACGGATGATAAATCAGACAGGACACAATAGGTTTGTTTTTTGTTCCTGCACTAATTAAATAGTGCACACTGGTGCAATAAGTTAGAGTGAGACAAAATATACTTCTCTCATTTTAACTTATTGCACCAGTGTGCACTAGTTCATTAGTGCAGAAACAGAAAACAAGCCTAAAGGTGCCTTTTCATACGCAGCATGCTGCAGCAGTAAATCAGTTACGTGATCAAAATTTATTAGAGCATATTTCTTTGTTCTCTTATTATTTCGAGGTTAAAATTACAATTTTTGTTTTTATATTCTCACAATAATCTATTTTATTCTTAAAATCTATTATTTAACTAATATAAGAATAACAATAATTAGAATCAACTAGTTGCGTGTTCTTTTGCTTTGCTGCCTTTGCTGTTCGTTCAATTGAATTTCACCAATAGCAACAAACTGCTGCGGCAGTATGCTGCACATGAAATGATACCTTAATGTAATAAGCATAAATTTTCCAACATTAAGATACTCGATCCGAAATAACGTAGTAGTAATAATAATTGTTAAGAATTATGTTTAATTATATGTAATTGTAATACTGAAGAAAACTGCGTGCAGTCTTTCACTTGTTTATCGCTTGTAGTTAGAAAAATCCAACTACAAAATCATGTTGCCAGCGATTACGTGACGTCATTATATCGCCAAAAACGAGCGATGAGCGATACATGAAAAGGTACCTTGAAATTGCTCAACTGTTAATCTGCGAAATGTGGCCAATCAGAATTCTTTATCATTTCTATCCCTAGAAAGAAAATGAACGACTTTGATTGGTCAGTGAACATCAGTTAGGCATTTACTCTAGTTACAATTTGATGATTTCAGCATATTACCAAATTATATTTTTTTCCTTCCAATCACTGACGAGGTACTCCTCGTTAGTGTTTCAATCCAATGTCGAGCAAAAGAGACAACCTCTGACAAGAGTGCAGTCAACACAATAAGCAGACCTATAGTATATACATTATATATGGATCAAACAATTCTGTATTTTTACTGTGTGCAAAAACATTAATAAATTGTGGAAAAATGATAGAAACTTCCGACAAGAAGTTACTTTATAATACTGTATTATCACAAACGTTTTCTCCCGATGGAAATTATCTTTTGGCTGGCAATATTTATGGAGACGTGTCAATATTTGAGTAAGATTTTTATATATATATATATATATATATATATATAACAGAATATTACACTAATTTAATAAAAAATAATTATTAATATTAATATATGAATATATAAAATAATTTTTGGTGCGTGCATCGTTATTTTTATAAACTTAAATGAACAGTTTAATTTTTCGATTTATTAATAAGAATTTTTAACTTAAATTTTTTAAATAGTCTATCAAAGACTTTAGGACCTAACAAGATAGAAGAAAATGAATTACAAGGACCTAATTATCGTTTTGCCGCGCATCCAGAACAGGAAATTGCATGCATGCTCTCCATGGAAAATTTCCTCGTAACAGGAACACGTGGTGAAATATCAGGATGGGACTGGAAGACAATTACCTCGAATAAAACTCCTAAGAGTAAAGCTTCTTGGAATGTTCAAATTCCTGCTAATAAGTAAGTAAAAGTGAAAGAATATAATTAAAGTGAAATATATGTCCTAATAATTACCAAATTTACATAAATAATATATTTAAATCTAAATTAAAAATGATACAAAAGATGTATGTTGTTCTATTATTGTTTTACTGCTTTATTATATGCAATGCTTAACTAGTAAATTACAGTTATTAATATATAATAATTTATTGTCAAGTATTATTATTGCAAAATTACTCTATAATTATTAATTTTCACATTTATGTACATGCACACATACATTTGTTTTTCTTTGCAAATTTTAAATTATTAAATACAAATTATGTTAATGAAAATTAAATAATTACAATTATAAATTTATATATATATATATATATATATATATATATATATCTTTTAACTATTGCTTATACAAACATTGCTTATTTTTCAGAAATAATTATGATAAACCAGACATAAATTACATGGTGTATTCGAAAGCAAATAATTTATTACATGCTGGTTGTGGTGATAATAACATATATATGATAAACTTAGAGGATGGGAGAATTTTGAGAAGCATGCAAGGTCACACCGATTACATACACTGCCTTGCTATAATGTAATTACAATTATCTACATTTAATAATAACAATATGTAAAAAATATTGAGCACTTAAATAATTTAATAATTTAAAAAAGTTTTTTTAAATTTTCAGGGATAATCAACTTGCATCCTGCAGTGAGGATGGTTCTGTGAGATTATGGGATTTACGTAAGAGAGAGAATACAAATGTATTAACACCCCATTTAGTAGATAAAGTTGCTCGACCACGATTTGGAAAGTGGATCGGTGCCGTTGATTTCACAGAAGATTGGTTGGTATGTAATAAAAAATTTAAAAAATTATATTTATAAAAAATATTTAATTTGCACATTTGTGCGAAACAAAAATTTATTGTTTAATTTTAATTGAAAAATATAAATTTCGAAGTATAAATATAATTATTAAATAGATACATAATTAAATATAGAACCAAACCATAGTTGATAACAAATTTTTACTAGAAAAAGATTAATTATTTAATTAGGATTAAAATTAAAGAGGATAAAGCAAAATTATATTTAAAATAATTAAATTTAATTAAGAAGAGATAAAGAAGAATCATAGCGAATGTTATATTCGTTGCAATGTTCTACATATGCATTAATTAAGACTAATATCTTTGGATATTATTCAGGATATTAATTATTCAGATTAATTCTAGCTTTGTGGCGGTGGACCTAGTCTATCATTGTGGCACATGCGGACGATGGAGGCAGCGACAATCTTTGATCTGGCTGATCAGGGAATACATGTAGCGGAAATCTACGAGGAACGCGTGATTGCCGGTGGTGCGGCCACTCATGTTTATCACATGACATACCAGGATGAGATATTGGCTAAAGTACCAACCTCGAGTCTCACTGTATATAGTATAGTGCATCAAGAAACACCGCATAAAGTACTTTGTGCTGCTGGTTCCTCGAATTGTATCGATGTTAGTACGAATTTCAATTATCGCGAGATGACGCTCAAATTTGCATAATACAATATTTATTAGAATATTACAAAATAGGTATTGCGTTACAATTTTATTTTCTTATTGATTAAATAGATGGAACAACAGGTACGATTAACGCTAGAAGTGTTTTTTTGTTTGTAATAAATATATTAATAAAATATACATCTATTTTTTATGATACAATTCTTTTGTACAAATATACAAAGGATACTTACACGACTTCTCTCTGTGCAGCAAAATTAATTTTTTAGTATATTAATTTCTTGAATAACATTTTTTTCCTTCTTTTCTCCAAATCCAAAATATACTATCTGCTTTATTTCGACTTTTTTATTGAAATCTATATTGTATTAACACATTCACGATTAGTAAATGCCATCGATGACCCATACGGTTATATAGTTTTTATTACAGATCAAATGGTTATTACCAAAAATTTGACTAAAGAACAACTAAAGTATAAATTCATAAAAATTAAAATTCAGCTCAGGAGAACACTAGCTTTTTATATAACGTCGCGAACACCGTGTGTTAAATACATATTGTATAAAAAAATACAAAGAAAAATGTAATTTTTGAAATAATAAAAACCAATATTGTATAAATAAATGCGGTTAAAATTTTCAATTTCAGAGGAATATTGTGAAAATATAACTTAATTTAATTTAGAATTTATTTGTGCATGTATGAGAGTTATTTGATTATAAATTTGAAAATTTTAATTTAAGTGCACATAACTTCGTTTTAATTTTAATAATTAATTATTACTGACAAGTCATCTCGCAATGAATAATTCGAAATATAAAAGTTTAATTATGGATCAAATTTAACTCTATAAAAACATTATCCATTGTAATGATACATGAAAATATTACAGAAAAAGAGAGAAATCAGATTATTATATTATTAACTCGAATTAAATATCTTCGAAATAGTACCTTAATAATTATCAAAGATTTATTTCACTAATGAATAATTGATTTTATATTTTATTTCTAACTTACAATAAAGAAGAGAATTAGGTAAATTTTAACTTTTCAATGGACAATTCATTACATTGCTAAAATTAAAAATTAATTGAAAAAAATAAAAAAATATAAATTTAACAATGACAATAACAATTCAAATGAATAATAACATTCTAGATTGACAATGCATGAGACTTTATTGTTTTATGTTACATATTTAATGTAACTTTTTAATAAATTTCTATAATTTCTATAATTAACTTTTTATAATAAATTTCAAAAGTTTGTACTTAAAAATTTTATATACTTTGATGGTTAATAAGAAATAATTATTTTTCATCAAATGTAATATTTCTGCAATATATGTATGTATGTATGTGTATATATATATATATATATATATATATATATATATGTGTGTGTGTGTGTGTGTGTGTGTGTGTGTGTGTGTGTGTGTGTTCTATTTTAATTGTACACCCCCGCGTAATATCGCGAAAAGTGGTCGGATGAAAAAAGTTTCAGGCAAAAGTTGTTGGATTTTGAAGAGGACATCCGATGGTGACCCTGATCTTATCGTAGATAACCTTGATCAAGGTGATTTAACGTTAACTTTAGTTCTTCAAATGGAATGATCTAATTTTGATATCGGAAATTGATAGAGCGTGAAAATTTACGTTAAAAACATTTTGCTTTGAAATCACTTTGATCAAGGTCATCAACGATAAGATTAGGGTCACCATCGGATGTTCTCCCAAAATCTAACAACTGTTGTCTGAAACTTTTTTCATCCGACCACTTTCTACTTGATGTAATTGGGGGTGCGCAATTAAAATGGGACACCCTGTATATACATACACGTATTATAAAATCAAAACTGAAAATGTGATTTCGCTCAAAATTACAAATTAAAAATATAAAAAATATTACAAAATTATTAAAGTATAATTTTCCAAAAAGACTAATTCATTCTTTATATTATAGTTATATGAAATAATTTATTAATAAACAATAATTTGGCAATTACGGTACTATTACGAAGATATATATACTATTTCGAGAAAACGATATGCTACACACACACACGTATATGTATGTACATATACATGTGTAATCCTTTTGTGCATTTCATGTCAATAAAAACCGTTATCACGCGCACGTGTTACATAAATCTCATCGGATAAAAATAGTCTCAAAGAAAGCCATGTCCAGCAACAACAGCAGGAATGAATCCCTCCTTACCATCCCTAGAGCGTACCCAGAACCAGTCATTTATATGATCGCTCAGCAAAGCGACTACGTCACCCTTGAAGACAGTCAGAGCATTCGCGGATCCTGCCTCGTAATCACTCCTGATCACTAGCAACGTGTGCCGGGAACCCTTGGTGCGTGCATTTGCCGCCGCCCTTAGATACAACCGATCGACACTACGCTCACCGCATGCCGACAATGCATCTCTCGTACATCGTCTGACCCTACCGCTACGCCCGCGGCTTGCTCCACATTCCGATCTGGTGTCTCGCAACTTCTCTGTATCCGTCATATTGCCTGAGAAAGATGAAAATATTAATTAGGGAAGTTAAGAAATTAAGAAAAATCTAATAATTTAAATTTCTTTGTATAGATCTTAAATTAGAATTATAAATCAAATTAAAAATGAATTAATTCTATATTATTATTATTATTATCATTAATATTACTAGTATAAGTTATTTAGAATAATGAATACATTTAAACATGACTTTACATGTAATCTAATTAAATTACACAACCACACACAGTATATGCGCATGTGTGTAATTTGATATTCTTACAGTAAATACACATATATAACTTTTTGCATCGTCAAAGTTTCTTTTACTTTTGAACCTTATGAAATTTTGCTTACCGAGAGGTCGGGGAAAAATATCGGTAGAATCCTCCCAACAGGGTCCTCGCGTAGGATGAGGTAAGATTCCTAAAGGCAAACAAGCGGCGTAACCGACGTATCCTTCCTGGCCGTGAGGTGTTTGGACATACAACCAGGCTTGGTTCTTAAAAATAGCATTTACGACTGTACCCAGAGGAAGAGCCATTTCATCTTGAATACCGCCCTGAGTTTGGTATAATACTGATGGAGAAGATAGGACGACTGGAATGTTTGCCGGTCTTTCTATGGATGCCTAAAAGATTATGAGATTTTATAAATGGTATATTTTTCTTATATCTCGTAAAACATGTAAAAGTAGTAGAAAACTAAAAAAACTTTTCAGAGGAAATTGAATTATTCTATTATTATTATTCTAATAAATAAAGAGTTAATTATACAAACTGAATATACATATACATACATACATACACACACACATACACACACACACACACACACACACACACACACACACTCACTATTTATCATTTCAATTGAATTTGATTTGTTTTAATAATTCTAGAATTATAAGTAATTGAAAATGTGTGTGCGTATGTGTAAATTTTGTGGAAAAGATAAAAGATAGAAATTTTTAATTTTATTATTTTATATATTTTACAAATTATATATATTTCATCAAAATTTTATTAATACTTAAAATTTTAATTTAATACTTAATTTCCGGCGTATAACACTAAAAATAACTAATATGTCGATCAATAAATCTTTATCATATTTTCGTTGAGGAAAAAGATTTATATTAAATAACTTTTTATTAAATTTGTCTTTAACATTTTTATGAAATGAATACATTTAATATATTAATTTTAACGCTGCAACTGTATTAAAAAGGATAAAAGTTAAGATTAAGATAAATGATAAAAACCACCTTAGTCAAGAAAGCGTCCAAATCGGCGATCTCGTAACCGAATCTACTGGGTAATCTAGGCTTGTACGAACGTTTGGTTCGTCTATGCCGGTGCTTCTCTCGTCCACTGGATGTTGACATTGACTCGTGAGATACTAAAGAAGGTTCAGATATAGCTCTTTTCACTTTCTCTTTTTCCTTTATATCTTTCAGACCGACAAATTCTTTATCGAAATACTTTTCCAATGTACTGTCCAATCGTCTGTCGCTAATTGGTTCTTTGTTGATAATCTTGAAAAGAAATATTTAAAAGAAAAATATTAATAGTAGAAAAAGTAATTATTATATTCGGAAGGAATAAAATCAGATTAACAAAAATATGATAACATTATAATAAATATCTCTAGTCGAATCATAAATTTTTAATAGATATTTAATAGAAACGATAAAACTAATATATGTATATATTTATGTAACACATGACAAATACTTGAATTATTATTAAATATAAATAATAATTTCCAGATATAAAATTTGCTAATTGTTATAGTTTATGCAAGAAAGATGGAATTTATTAATCCCCTAGAGACATTTATTTTTAATATTTTGATATTGGAGGGGAGGGGAGAGAGAGAGAGAGAGATTCAATACAAATTATACTTAAAAAAATTATTTAATATTAAAATTTTAGGATAAATAATTAGTAGATGTTAAAATTATTCTAATTAAAATATATAAAAAAAAACATTGCTTTTTTATAAAAAAATAATTACTAATAATATAAACATTCTTCTACAAAGAAAAATGTTTATCTTAAAAAACTTTACACAAATTATCCGATACTTTTTGAAAGGAATAATGTATGTGTAGAAGCTGGAATAAATTTTTTAAAACATGAGAAATATCGTTGAACGTTGAAATCACTGAACACTCGAAAGTTTTTCTGCAAGAGAAAAACAGTTTATATATTAAAAGAAAATTTATTTAGATTTAGATCAAAATTATATATGTATATGCACAATTACCTCTTCGATTCTTTCTATCTTCTCGAGTCTATGGAGAATTTTCTTTTCACGCTTTTCAACATTCTTCCTGTTCTCAATATTCTCCTTATTAACGTCTTTTTCTTTGAAGCATTTAAGGCTCCTTCCTGAAGACTTCTCTTTGCTACCGCGCGACAAAAGATCTCGATCACTGTTTGCATCTTCACGAACAAGAATTTGTGTCATTTTATTATTAATATATACATATACACACATATTATATATTTATATACACACACATATATATATATATATATATATGTATATATTTATACACACGCCACACATGTACACATATAATGTGCAAAAAATAAATTATTATATACATATACACAGGATAATACAATATTACAAAAGATGAGATTTTAGTAATACAAATTATTTACAAAAGTTTAATTTTCTTTTTAAACATTATCAATATTGTTGTTTACATCAATTTAAATTATATAATTTGCAGTTGTGTATGTGTGTGCGCGAATATGTGCGTGCGTGTGTACGTAAAATGTATTTTTTATTTTTTCCTCTACAATAACAAAATGAACTTGAAAAATGTAAAGAATAAAGAAGTAATAAAAATAACGAAATAAAATAAAAGGATTTTTTACTTCCGTTGCCATTAGTGGTTGAATAGGTGCCGTTGGATCCAGATTGCTGTTGACCACGTAGGACCCAGGTCAGCGAAATTTTTGGACGCAATAGAGCGCTTGATCGTTGTCCCATGCTCGTCGCCGATGTAGCAAACGTCGAAAACGGCAAGAACGTAGACAACGTTGAGGATGACAGGGATCTAGAGCTATCTGTTATAATTTGCAATGGGCAGTCCGCCACCAAGTCCACCGTCTGCAACGAACGGCCATGTTCCTAGAAAATGCGTTTTCTGTCAACCAATTGATAATGTGAGACTAACGTAAAAATATATGCATGCCATACATATAAGCTATAATTTAAAAAAAATATGAAGTGTAAATATACAAATAATTTTTAAATCAATAGAAAATAAGTTTTTCTTTGATTTTTACAATTTTTAATTAATCCATAATATTTAATCAAAAGATTAAAAAAGACGCTAAATAAAATAATAAATACAATATAATATGATAAAAATAGCAGAAATATTCTGACAATTTTTTGTGATAATAGTTATTTATCTGTTTCGAGCGCGTAAAGAGAAAATGTTACATGTATATTCAGAATTCACATATAAAGATCACACGTCTCTATATGTTTTCTCGGAGCTTCATCACGAAATGGAAGTTTCTCTTCGTGGAATATTTAACCCCATTGACCTCCTGAGTACATCCTCGCCTGCCACTTCCTCCGTGTATCCTTCCTCTTCGTGCCGAAACGTCCGAAAGTTTACAGTCTTAACTTATCTCTCATTTCCTTTTTGTTCCCCTCCATTTCATTCTTCATCGACCTTTATATCTACCTTCCTTTTCTCTATTTCATTTTTTTCTTTCGTTCTTCCTTTACTTCCGCTCCTTTAATTCACTTTTTCATCTTCTTCAAGAAATTTTTTCGATTTTTCTCAACAATCGATGAACAGCTATGCTGTTCAAAATCTCGGAATTTCACCGCTGCACTGTTTATACTTCCCCCATCCCCCTCAAATCTACGCCATTTATTCAAACATGGACGAAAATAATTATTTCGAATTTATTTATAAATAATTTGCAAATGTAAGTATTATATATTATAGTTATATTTAAAATATACGTACATATAGTAACAATTTGAATTTCTTTTAAGTCCTGTGTAGAAAGTATATATATATATATATATAATTTGATCCTCTATAATTAACATGCAGTTATATGTATCAAATAAAAATTAAATTTAAGTAACTTTACAAATTATAAATTAAATTATACTTTATAAATCAAACTATATATCGTCTGAATATTGTTCCCATTGTCATTATAAATAATAAAAATTAAATAAATCTTTCTAGAATAATTGCATAACCGGCATTGCATGCATGCTTGCATTTGGCTTTTCCATTTATCTCTTTCCTGTCCCCCCTCTCTCTCTAATATTTTGTTCTGAATTATAAACATCTTTTTACCGTGCATTTGTATAATATAATTTATACTACACAATTCTAGAGTGACGGTTAATCGTAAATAATAATAAAATGTACATTTAAAAAGATAAACAAAAGAGACGAGAAGAAGAAAAATGCTGTGACTTCTTAGCTATTTAACGCAGAATATATCTCAAAATAAGCTATATATATATTAATTTATACAATTCGCACTTCTATTTTATACTATTATACGATCTTTCACCATATTCTTGTCTTACGAGATTATACGCGGGCGTTGCGCGACATGTATAATTTGCATGCCTTGTTTGTTCTTCTTTCAGGAATCAACGATATCTCTCGTTAAATAATACAACAATAATCCATTGGAACTACATCATTAGAGCAGTAATACAAATACAGCTGGTGTAATAATTCTCGTAATACTTGAATAATTGACGCGATTACTTATGTTACATTGCGTTTATTCTATTATACAAAAATATATGTTTCTTATATATAGATAAAGAAAAACTGCGAACTATTGTAATAATTTTTACATTTTTTCATCAATTTTGACAAATGTAAGCGCATTTTATTGCTTTTTTAACATTATTTACGTGCAAAACGTACAAAGATAAAAAAAAAATAATAAAAAAATGTATTTAATTAAATCTTCAAAGAATTGTAAGTAAAAACAATTATTCATAGGAATTTTTAATCTTTTTTTAATTTTTAATTCTTAAAAATTGTTTAAACATCAGACACTAATTGTTTTTCAGACAAATTTAATAGATAAATGAAAATCCGACCAAAATATCAAATTTGCCCCAGCATTTTTCAATTTGAAAAATAAAATACCTTGTAGGAGATTCTGTTGTTTTTCGAGAAAACTAAGGAACTCGTAGAGTCTCCTCCCACAATATTTGCAATTTCTGTTCCAACAAATTGATAATCGGTTTCGCTGCTCCAGGAGTGTCGCTTCTTCAGATCCTCTATAACAAATAAATTTAAAATGGATTAAAAGAAAACAGATTTAAAAAGATTAGAATAAAGAAAATTTCTCAGAAAATGTAGAAAATAAATAATATTTACTACTCTTTCACAATTTTTCTCTTATACATATAATAATTATTAAATTAAACAGTAAATAAAATAGAAGAAATCGTCAAAAAGATTTTTTTGAGAATATATCGTATAAAAAAATTAATATAAAATGCACAATACACACATCGATAAAACATTGTGAATCATTTACGTTATATATAGAAACAAAACATACACAGTACTCTCTAATTAGTTTTTAAATTAATATCAAAGTACTTAATATAGGACAAAAATATTTTCCGTATCGAAAAATTTCGTTGACAGTGCAGATATTATCACGAATATGTACATTTCAAATATATTTATATATAAATATTTAAACGATACATAGTCGGGCGACGATCAATTTTCACGTGACAAACACGTGCGCTGCCAAGTAGCAGCCTATATAGTGTGCAATTTTTAATAGAATCGTATATGAACATATATTTTTTATGAGAAAGATTTCTTACGCGTGTATATATGTATATGTATATAATATATATTATTTGTGTTTTAATATTTTGGAAATTTTCTCGAACAATTGTGTCTTTGTGTATAAATTATATGTATAATTATGAGGAAAATTATAATTATTGTTATTTGCAGAAAGAAAAATTAGATACTTGGTATTTTTAGATTATAAATTCACGAGTCGAAATAAGTCATGATATTATAATTGAAATGCTGACTTTTTATCTTCTAGAAACTGCACTCTCCAAAACAACCCCCGTCGAGAACAAAAGACAAAAATAAGAGCAAGCTACTAGTATACTCTAATATATAATACATTTCATGTAGTCATTTTAATTTTCGTTATTAGATAAAGCTTATAAGATTCGCTTACTCTAGAAGTAGAAGAATAATTGGTGAATAATGAACTCTTCCAATGGCAGAAAGTAATAAATCTTATTATCGAGAAACATTATATATATTTCTGATAATTCTGACATATTTTCTGCGATAAATTATAATTAATAATAATTATAACAATTCTCAGGTCCGATAGATTTCAATGTCATTTTATGCAACCAATATTCTAAAAATCTTCTTGAATTTTCAATTTCCTGATTTGTCTATTTTGAATTCCTTTATACTTTTAAGAATCTTTTTAAACTATATTTTTCGCGCGTTAACGTTTTTGAACGATTCATATATTACACTCGCACTGACTAGAAATCACTATCTTTAAGTAAAAAAAATAAAAAACTGAGAGAACAATAACTGTAACTAAAAAACTAATATCGCACTTCGCCTGCACTTTTCATCGATCACAGAATACAGATGGTAAAATTTTGCAGATGCGCTACAGAATCACCTACAGCTCTGACTAGACTAAACGTGCTCGTTGTAGCACGTCGAGTATAGTACTCTAGGAGAGGAGAAGAAAACGAGAGGAGAGAGAAAACGAGATGAGGAAAAAGAGAGAGAGAAGGTCATACCCCGATTGGTCCATGTTTCCCGCGAAAATGAATCGGCCAATCGCCGTGACCATGTAATTGTCGGCTATCAGACAGCGTAAAAACGACCCTGGGCTTGAGAGCTCCAGTCTCACGAAACCTCGTCGTAAACGCCTCTTCGACCCATGCGCGCCTTCGCATCCTGCGTGCTTTTATATCGACCAAAGAAAAATACTATATAGTAATTCTTCTTCCCATAAAATAGAGATCAATGGAAATATAGACGTCGCGCACATATATACGGTGCGTATGATAATAAGATCTCGCTTTGCTAAATTTCAGATTAGAAGCATCATATAACGGGACATAATTTACCCCATTAATGTACGCGTGTTTCAAATTTTTCTTATATAAATTCAAATAAAATAGATATGTAATTTTGTTAATTTGCTTTTATCCAATTTTATTCTCATTTTTCCATCTTATCGATTGAAAATCTCTGTTAAAAAAATAGTGTAAATCAAATTGTTTTAAATTTACAGATATTATACTTATATGTATACATATTGAATTTATTATATTTTTTGAACTTTGATATTTTGTTTCTCTCTCTCTCCTTCCCTTCCTTTTTATTCTAATTTGTAATTTCGCAATTTTTGCAAAAATTTACTCCGACGCGACGCGACGTCTCTCGTGTCATGTCCGAACGAATGAATAACTCTTTCGTGAAAGAAGAAGAAAGGGAGAAGAAGATGGGCGGTTCGTAAGTGGCGGGTCGAAGAGCGGCGGAATGAGGAATCGAGGCGGAGGAGGGCCCACCGACCTCTGACCCCCTTGGGAACCATGAAGAATCCGAGGGCCGCGCGGCCGAGAAAGGGACTCGGGAATCCGGTCGACGAGACCCACCCGGCCGAAATACTTGCACGCCGATTACATCGTTGTCGGCGCAACTACTACTGGCGAATCTCGATCGATTGCGAATTAATTCATCGCGAGAAATCAGTACATGTGTATATGTATTACATATGCATATGTGCGTAAACTATCAATTTCAATTGGGACACATACACATACAAAAGCAATATTATAAAAAATGGAAGATACATATCTATGTCTATCTTTTTTAGTTAATTCGAAACAGTTGGAGGATTTAATCCGAGAATGAAACGAGTGGCAAAATTCTCACGGTTTGTGTCATGATTAGCATGTATTTTCTGGTTGGCGTGTATTTTTTATCTTAATCTCGAATGAGCAAGGATTTAAGAGAAACGAGTGATCGAGGTACAGAAAGCACGTGAGCGTGTAATGGTGATTGAATGCGGCTAATGGCCATTCCGTACAAGACTCGCCAAACCCGCCGAGATATACGTTATGATCGCGGCATAATATTTACCGGGTGGTAAACAGGCGCGTATAAATGTCGAAAATACTTGAGAGAGATAGAGAAGAAAGAAAAGCAGACAGAGTTTGCGTCGCGCTTGCGCACATGTCCATCGCTAATCTAATCCTCCGTCAATTTGAACCGACTTGAAAAATTTGTTTTATAACAAATTTAATTTCTTCTTTAACTTTCAGACAAAGATTAGCAATGCGGTAAAAATTCAAAATTTATTTCTATTTTTTCCAGAAAAACAACCTTATGCAACCTCGAGCGACCTTATTCTCTCATATGACGGAATCAAAATGTAATCCAATGTATAGATACCGATAAACAATATATTATAGATTATAGATGAAGAAAAATTTGTCGCAAAAGAAAGATATTTATATGTATATTTCTCGACATTGAATTTATCGTCGTAGAAAAATTCCACGACGCGGCGTAGCTGATTATAATTAATACGCGATGCGCATTTTACGATTTAATTGCGTCCGGAGTCTAGATGCAATGCGGACCGGTACCCTTTGATTTATGACTTCACGCCACTTAGGTCGATATGTTACGGCGTTGCGAGTTCTGTCGCCATTACGTCCTGACAATTTTCCAGTTTTTATTTTTTTAACCCGAAAAAATATTTCTATATAAATTGGACAATTTTTTTCGAGACAAATTCAAAATTAGTCGCGAGGACTTTTTCGATCTGCGAGTTAATTACTTCGATATTCTTCGGTGGTTTGATTTATCGAAATATTTTCGACAATGGTAAAATGAAAAAAAATCATAGATTAAGAAAAATCGAAAAGGAATTGGTAAGGATGGAAATAGAAGCGAGAGAGGGAAAAGGAGGGGAAGAGGAGCAAGATTGACCCATGACCTGAGAGTTTCCAACGCGAGTCTGATTCCTGAAATGTTTGCGCGTACCCTATAATCACGACTGCGGGGCTGGGACCTTGTCCAGACCCCTTCACTGCCCTATTTCATTCTCTCTCTCTCTCTCTCTCTCTCTTCCTTTTAGATTTCTCTTTTCTTCTTTCTGATCCACGCAATGGATATCTATAATTTAAATCTCGCTCGCGCGGGCATAAGTGGCAGGAAATGATTGTAATTAATATGGCGTACATGCACGTATGCCCGTGTAAGTACACAAGAATATGTGTGGCTTAAGTTGAACCATCGAAGCAAAACCAGGACCAGGAGAAGAGCCGGGTAAAGATAATCAAAATTGATCCAAGGAAGAGAAAGAATACGGAAGCTCTTGCAATATTTTGTTTTTCTCAGCTCAAATATTTTTGTAGCTTTTATATTTAGATATATTTTATCGACAATTCAACAACGTTGAGCAGATCGTGTTTAGTTATGTGTGTGTGTGTGTGTGTGTGTGTGTGTGTGTGTGTGTGTGTGTGTATATATATATATATAATTGAATACACGTGCGCACGCGCGACAGGAGAAATGGGAAATAATTTCCCTTATTTTCTCTCTCTTTTTACGGCTTGATTCGCATACCAATAACTACTTTATAGACGGTATAAATCACGGGTATGTACGTGAGTATGAGTGGGCGGAAAACCACACGGTATACCACACAACCGCACGCTATAAATTTTATACATGTTCATTGTGGTTCGCTGGAACAGCATGAACATGAACCCGACATGAACCAGACGATATAGTTTCTGCGTTCAGTGGCCTCCTCCTTCTTATATAAACTTTCTCTTTATCTCTTTTTCTCTTTCTTATTCTTTTTACATTCAAAATATATTAATATATCATTCAAGTTGATTCCTCCCTCTTCCTCTCTCCTCTTCGAAATATACAATACATCTTATATATTTTGATAATTATAAAATCAGCATTAAATGCATTAAATGAATTTTAGCAATCTATTGCAAGAGAGCTCAACTATTACTATTTGTGATTTAGAGGTCCCTATAATATAATACCGAAATTTAGACGCAATTTAATTTGCAACTTTTTTGCCATACTAACCAAATAAAGAACTAGAGAAGAATTTGAAAGCTGTCCGCAATACTAAAACTTTAGATCCATGGCTAGAAAATCTTGGATTAAACGTATACACACGTAATAGGTTACAGATAAATTTTGCAATTCTCTAGACCAGTTCTATAAATCTTAGAGATTTATGATGCGTATCAAATTTAAAAGTATCTCTCGATATAGAACGATAGTTATTCTAAATAATAACTGGTTTATTCAAGTAAACAAGCGTTAATTAATTGTTATGGAAATTATTATGGAAAAATTGTTAATAAATAAAACTACAAAATTTATCTACTTAATAATCTTCTGATCGTATTTGTGAGATTTAATTAGATGGACGATATACAGAGTGTTAAAAAAAAGCGTAAAATATTTTAAGAGGATTTAGTATGCCTATATAAAAACAAGTCGAAAAGTCTTAATAAACATGAGTCCGCAAATAAACCGTTTTCGAGATACTTTTAATTTTATTTTTTTTAATATTTTCTTATAATTTTTATTGTTATTTTGAGCATCTTCTTTAAAATAAGATAAAATGCAAACTTATTTTTCTGCATCAATTATAATAAAAATAAAAATTTCAAACAAAAAAGAAAAATTATAAAACAATATAAAAAAATTAAATTAAAAGTATCGCAAAAACGGTTTATTTACAGACTCATGTTTATTAAGACTTTTCGACTTGTTTTTAGGCATATACTAAATCCTCTTAAAATATTTTACCCTTTTTTTAACACCCTGTATATTGCATCAGAACGGAAAAATTCGCATAAAGTAGCGAATATAACCCTTGATTATAAAATATTTAAGATAATCTCATTGAATTAAAACATGAACTTGTATAAATCAGATTTTTTTAGAGCTTACCGTGTAGAGTTTATCTGTAGAGTCTAGCGAACGTCGTTTAGTTTGTGAAATAGAACCTCTTCCTAAAAGAAAAAATTACTTTATGAAATAATACACATATAAATACAAACACAATTTTTACAAAAATTACAAATTATAAGTTATAATGTAGTCATTTTAATTAAAATTTTTTGCTTTTTTTAACTTTAAAGAATATTTTTACAAATTTAATCCTCTCTCGCACGCGCTAATAATTTTGCTATAGATAATATAAATAAATTATATTATAGAATTTATATATTATTAAAATGTAGATTTATAAATGCAAATCCGTGCAATATTCACGCACTATATGTACAAAGTACCGTTACATGTACCATTTCTTTCACGGAATCTTATAGAAACAATTCATTAATTAAGAAATTCTTTAATCTTATCTCCTATTTGATAACTCACAATCAGTTTCAATTTTCAAAGTTTTGATAATTCGTGTTTTCCATTATCATTGTCATCATCTTCAAAAACTATTTAAAATTGTATCCTCTCTCTCTCCCCCTCCCCCCCCTCTTTCTTATCACGATCAAGCCCACAGTGTCGTAATGAGCAGACTGACAAGAAAGGAAGGATCGATATTAATTTTATTTTTATTTATTTTATTAAGAAGAATTTTTAAGATTATATACTTTTTAAGATTATAGAGTTTGTAGATTATCTTTTTTCAATTGTTTTTATTGATTATTTTTATCCTTATATTATTAGATTCTATATATGTTTTATTATATTTTACAATTAATAGTTTAATATTTTTAGATGTTTAGGTTTATAATGAATTGATTATACATACATATATTTTTATTGTATATATTTTAAACCAGATTATATAAAAATAGTTTTATCTAATTTTTTTAAAACATTGTTCCTCTCTAATGTTTATGTGAAATTTATTCATGAAATTTATTCACTAGAACAACACAAGCGCGCGCTATTCCTCAATTTTATATTTAAAAAATTTATATTAAAAAAATTAATAAAATTTAAACTTCATTAATCTTTTGACAGAAATCAGCTATATTAATAACTGTTATAAGATATAAATGAAATTTAAATAATATATTATTAAAACATATTAATATTTTAAAACTTATTAACAAATTAACGCCTAACATAATTAATGATACGCATCGCATATTTGAAATTATTCAACAAGAAAAAAACAAGGCATTTTTGGCACACGATACTTTGCTTAAATTTTATCCACAATACAATTCATATCACTTAAAAATTTTCTGTTTACTCCGAAAGACATAAGTTAAGAATTTCAATATTACCGCGCGATAACTATAGCAACAATCCAAAGTATCGAACAAACCTCGCGCATGTTTTAGTCGAATTCATTATTAAAGGCTGCGTTCGTCGCATTTGAATACTATCGGAATGTCTGCAGAAAAGAAAGATAAAGAGAGCAAAAAAGTGCCTGAAAGAGTGATTCCTATAAATAAACGTGGTGATTTTTTCAGAAACGAAGTGGTCGTTGATAATATTCGGTAATATAATATACGTATCTGTCATATAGAAAATATGAAAATAATAATAGTTTTAAGTTGATCGTACGCAGAATGAATAATTATATGTATATAAATTCATTATCTAACATACGTCACATTAATTGAGATAATCATTTCGTTAAATTCAGCAAAGAAACGAACTTCCTCGAAAGCGTATCGCAACGGTTATGGTCGCAGAAGTACGAGCATTTGAATGGGCAATTTTTCAAAGAGGTATCTTAAAAAAAAATATCGGCTCTTTGAGTACGGCAGAAAAAAATAACAAACGATCGCGACATAGACAAATTCCAATGTGTTCGATGCGTGTCACTGACCATAGGTGTTGGCGGAAGAATGCAGAAAAGCGGGACTTCCGGTGAATACCTTCGAGCATGACCCGCTGGAAGACGCGATGGAACGTTCACCGATTCCTTTGAAAGCTTCTCCGGCCTTCCCGAGAACGACATCCGCTCAGATCGGTCACCGTTCGTCTCGCGCGGAATACAGCTTGGAATTTGCGGGTCGTTTATTTATCTCGCCAAAGTGGACGATCGAACCCCCCACGAAAGCTGACGAATTACGCGTGACGCAACAAAGATTTATTTTTCTAGGTTGACGCTCCGATTATTTCTAAATTATGTCATATATATTTCATAGTTCAAATATAACGTCTAAATCAAACAAGTCTAAACGAAAGAGTGAAAATAAGATAAAAAGTAATGTATACATTATTACAATACGATATTATTTCCCTAGTAATATTTTCATAAGTTAATCCCCCCCCCCCCGTATTAAAAAAGTATATCATATTTTTTAAAGCAATAATTAAATAGCAATTTTGTATTTGCTTAAAAAAATAGTTTTTATCGAAACATTTTATAAGGGTTAAGTATGTTTTGAGTAATGTATATATTGGAGTTCAGTTAAAAAAAAGTTTTCGACGAAGTATTGAAGGCCGACGGCCTTGCGACATTTTCGCAATTATCAAGCAGCAGTTATCGATGAATGTTGATATTATCGATTATTCTTAGCTCACGGAAATATACAACATTACTGCGTTTGTAAACATAAATAATAAGCTATATACATATATGTTATAATATATATATAATCTCTATAAAGTAGATAGTTGGAACAATCTTATAAATATAACTAGTAAAATTAATAATATAATATAGAATAAAGATTATACACATATAAATAACACAAAACTGTTAACAATAGTTGCTTTCTATTTACATCAAAACTCAGATCAACGTCTATGTAAAAGAAAGACAGAAGTGAGATTTATCTGAGTTTTGATGTAAATGAAAAGCGCAACTAATATCAAGCATACACATATACATATACATATATGTACATATATAAATAATAAGTTATGCCGCCTCTTGAAAATAATTAAAATGATCAAGATCAATTATGATCTAATTTAAATTGACATAAAAACTGGTAAAATTGTAGACAGACTAGCTATTTAAAGCTATAAAAATTCAAAAATCCAATTCAGTAAACAAATTGTGTTTTAAAAGAGTGAGTAGAATAATATTGAATTTTATTACGAAAAGTATCGGCGCAGCTAATTACAGAACAATGAACATTCAGCCTACCTGGCGTGCATAAATTGCACTTTCGCAGCACCTCTTTGCTGCGAAGAGAAGATAACGTGAAAAATACGAAGATGTGCTTTCAATGTAATCCATATCCAGGCAATTCACGCAAATCACGTTGCTCCATAGATATCCGTGTAGGTGTATAACAACGGCACTCGCGTTTAACACAAATGTTTCGAACGCCCGACACTTACGAGAAACATTCGTGACACTCGCGCACAAGATTCACTTTTGGAACACTCACAATTACACTCGCAAAAAATACGGAACAATTTGAATGCGACTTTGATGACCGCGATTGCGACCCGCAACGCGTTTCGCGACTAAGATGGCGGCTCGAAATATATCGATATGCAATGTTGCGATTCTCGAAATATCGAAGCAGTAGAGACCCTAGCGATAATTTCCTGCCGTGGCAATTTTCTAGAAATAAAGAAAATCAAGACATTCATATAAATATCGCAGGAATAAATGGTCGAAAATATGTAACAATAAATTTACACAAAAATCAATATGCGATCAATTAGAGAATAAAAAAAAATATATATATATATACATAATGATAATTACGCACCTCTTTCCCATGGTTTATATGATCAAAAAGTAAAAGTGAAATATACGAAAGAGCAATCGCGGTACGCGGATATCACCGATGCAGAAGGGCCCATTGTTATTTGCAATATACACACGGTTTAATATTATTTCTATGCCCGAGACTTTGCGAGAGACATTCGCGATAATTATTCGCACACGAGATTCACTTTTAGACACTATACACTCGTGATAAATACGGAACGGTTTTAAGTGCGACCAAACGATCGCCGCGGTGCGGTGGATATGAACTAAGATGGCGGCTAACGATGTATCGATGTGACGCAAATTGCGATTCTCGAAATATCGAAACAATCGAGACTACTGTATAATGGCAGTGACTATACTTTACGCAAAATAAATAAATATAAATAAATTAGACATTTAAAATGATCAAAAATCGAAATGCATGATAAATTATTACATAAAAATATACTCAATACAATAAAAATTGCAGAATGAAAATAGACATACACAACGATAATTACCTGTTCCCTGCCATGGTTTATTTTTCGAAGATAAAATGTATATAAAAAATAGGAAAATAAAATATACGAAAGAGCGATACACCGATATAGATTCCTATATTGTAATAATGATATAATCACGATGTTTAATATAGTTTCGACGAATGCCCGACACTTTATGAGAAATACTCGCGATAATTTTTCACGTATGAGATTTACTTTTAGACAAAATTCCACAAAAAATACGGAGCGGTACGAGCATGTCTTGCAGTCGTCTCGACGCATTTCTCGTAATAGAGATTCGAGATCGATATGTATAGTACGAGTCGCTAACAATAAGTATCGGACCAATTAAAAACAATAATAATACAATAATCATTCTATCATTATTTTATCTCTACAAGAAATAATGGCCTTCGATACATTTGAGAATCGACTTAACGTGCCTTGTTTATAAAAAGGATATAATCTTTTAATTATAGAAAATTTTTAAAAAATAACATATCATGAAGATTAAACGCAAATCTCTACTTTAAATCTGTTTTGTTTCTTGACACTTACCTCGTTATATACATTGCGTCGAAAATCAAACAATCAGAATGACGAATCAAGCTTTCTCAACTTCCTCAGCAATTCTGGTTTGGTCACTAATGCCTTCTGGATGGACTCGATTAATACTTTTGCTTGATTATACGGCGGAAATGGCATGCCTTCAAGATTATAGACATAAATAACTCCTTCGATATCAGCGACTATCAACTGATTCCCGTTCGCCGTGAATTCAACGGCGACCAATCTCGTCCCATTCGTTGATATGGTCACCGACGACGGAATGTGTATTTTTCTACGAATATCCCACACACAGATTTGGTCGTTGACAATGCTGGCGATGATAGTGGAACATGTAGGACTCCAGCAGGCGCTTCTCACACATGCCATCGCCGTCGACAGAATAATAAGCGGTTCGGTAAGGCCTTCGGCCCAGATCCTGATGCACCAATCGGCGCCGCAGGTTAAAAATAATTTCCGGCAAAAAGGCGAAAACTCGAGAGAATAAATCGGGCCGTCATGCGCCAGAAAACTGTCCACGTGTTGACGTAAATAATTTGTGGAGCATCGATAAACGCAACCTTCGTCGGAGCCGACAAAGTAAATGTTATTGACGATGGGATGCCTTCGAAGAACAAGAGCGCTCGGTTGACGGCTGATGGGCACATCATAAGCCACGCAATGGTCAGTTCTAGAAACTCCAGCCACTTTACCTTCGACTCTATACAAGCGCATGATTTCTGTGGCAAAGAAATCTTCGCTAAAACGATAGCAATATATTCGACCGTCTTGATCACTAGTGTAAATTTGCTCTTGAAAATCGAACTGCTCGTCGCCGCTCCACCACTGCACCTGTAAGAAAGAATAAAGAACATTATCAATGTTATTAAGCAAAATATCCGGATGATGTCCAGTACATTATGCATAAATGTCTAAAAATGTATTATACTGCTTAAGAAATTAAATTCGATGTTTTTAATAATAAAAAAAAATTACAACATATATCACAAGTATTAAAGAATAATAAACAAAATATAAAATATATTTTTATACATATATATATGATATATATCCGATAATAAAATCGCCCATCTATCGCGTGAAGATATCTTTGCAATAATTAATGAGAAATTAATTTAAAAAGATTAACTAATCTGCGCGAGCACGAAGCGTTGGGATACTAATCAAGTTTTTAATTATGTATCGCATCTAGCAACCGTGTAACAATAGGATGTTACTCCTGCGCGCGATGGATAGAACGATTATTATCGTACTTCCTGCATGCATGTGTGTGTATATATATATATATATATATATATATATATATATATATATATATAATATAAATATAAAATTGCAGAATAGAAGCACAATTTTAATTATTCATTAGCGATATAAAAATAAAAATATTCGTATTCAAATTCGATATTTTGATATAAAAATTAAGATTCGGTGCTTGTACAATACAAAATTAAATAAAATTCACATTTACATAATATCGAAATTAAAATAATGATAATTAACAATTGACAATTTTTTACCTGCCAGTGTGGTGAGCAAGCCACCGATGTCTCCCTGCAACTCTGCCTGATGACATTCATCTTCTTACTGCTGACATCAATGACCTTGACACTTCCGTCATAGAAACCGATCGCTAAAAGATTTGGTCGCTCCTTACTCCAATCGATATCGGACAGCGGACTATCAAACGTATATTCGCGACCAGGCTGACTAGGGTTCTTAGCACACCAGATTAGTAAGAGTCCATTCGTCTTATCGGAACTAATCTTGGCATCGTAAGCGACAGCGAGGAGATGCGGATTGATCGGACTACAACGAAACGCTGCTACAGGACGATCATGCGTCATTTCACACGCGTATGTCCACAGTAGATCAAGTCGATAATCAAACTCCAGATCTAGGGCGCACGGATCACACTTAGTCAAGCCTGTAAAGCGCTTTTGCGCCATTGCGAACACGTTATTGGCGATTATGCGCTCCATCACGCACGCGGCATCTAAGAAACGTGTTTGTCGGCAAATGTGAGACAATTGTTCTTCGGGACTCGCATCTGGGATTGCTTCAGATTCAGGGAGCTTGTATTGAAGTTTCTGTCGCAAACATAAAAAAATTATTATTTTCTATTGACGGATACTTTTCTCCTTTTCTTACTCACCCCCCCCTCCTCTCACACTCTCTCTCTCTATCTTTCTCCACATTCTCTTCTATTATATATATATTGCAAATGTTAAAATTCTATTAAATATTTTATGTAAAGTTTTTTAATAGTTGTAGAAGCAACATTTTTAATTAAAAAAAATGGCAGAATTTTTTAAGTTATTCATTTTAATTTATTAATCTCTGAAAATATAAATATGAAAAAAAATTTTTTACCTGCGCTTCTCGCATCCGGCTCATCGATTCTCTTGTACGTACAATCATACGCCCATTCTTTTCTGTCATCAATTCTGGTGATGCATAAGTATCATGAATCACCCAATTGTTCACAAATATGCCCTGATTTCTACGAGGTCTCATGCCTAAATAGGTGCCACGCGATTTTGTCAACACGCGTATTGTTTGCGTTTCAGCATCCAGTAGCTTCCGATTGGAACTTGGTCCTATTGTCACGTATTCGTAATTCTTATTCTCCTGTTGAATTATCTTCCCCTCGGGCGTTCGCAAATCTTCGGTCATCTGCGGCATCTCGAAAATGAAGTATGTCTGCGTTTCCTTCAACGTGATCGTCACGGTTTCTGGACGATCCGCAAATATGGTCAAGTCATCGCTATAAGCAAATAAAATCCCCATTATCAGATATTTTTTAATAATTTTATCTACAAATTTCATAGTTCAAATCTTCATATTCTTAGTAAGTCAAAGAATTAAACATGTATTCTATTTCTATTCTACTTAACTAACTTTTTCTTAAGACTCTAACCATTGACTTCTAATAATTGACACACATGCACAAAATAATATGTCGTTTTTAATCTAAAATCTAAAATGAGAAAGTGAATAAAAGATGGAAGATCCATAATTTTACTATATTTACTATATTTTAAAAATATGAATGGTATATAATAGTGACAAAGTGTAAGACAAAGAGTAAAAATAAAATAAGTTATGCAGTTTGTTAAAAATAAAAATAAGAATTAATAGAACTCGAAATATTAAACATTTGACAATTTGTTTATATTTCTGAAAGCTAGTTATATAATTTTAGAATTTTTCTATAATTTTCTATAAATTTGTACAATTTTTACAAATTTCTATGTATAATTTTATATTCATAAATTTTTAAGTTTTAAATTTAAAAAATTTAGATCCCAACAAAGCAAAAATTTGTGTAATTGAAGTTTTTAATGTAAAACTTTTAATTTTTAATTCTAACTTATCAATTATTCATTTTTATGCTATTTATTTAATAAATACGCGTGTGTCTTATATAAAAAGAGCTATCATAAAATAATCTTGTAATAATCTAATACCTCAAAAATTAAATTAGTTTTATTTCCAACTATATGTCAAAACGTTAAACTACACAGATGTTAATCGTTAACAATAAGTGTATATGTATTTATAGTACCTAGACAGAAAAAATGGCGACGGCGCGACATCCTCGTCCTCCTGGACGGGCAAAGACTCGGAAATTTGCGTCGAAAGCAAACTCTCCATTTGCAAATCGTCGGACGGCATCGAGGAAGATCTGAAAAGAATGGACGAACTAGCTCTAAGACTACTGATTCTCGAAGGAGATGCCATCAGTTGGGAACCGCTTCCCATCTGGAATAGTCCGGTGTTCTCCAAAGCGGTTGTCTGGTTCTCGTCAATGACGCTGAAGGCCGTATGAATTAATGGTTTCGGCGTAACATCGATGTTTTCGTGAACGACACGAAGCGCTTGCCGTTGCTGAAGAAGCACCGAAGCGACATTCCGCTCGCATCCAATTTTCCGAGCTCGTCCAAATGCACCGAGCTTTATCTTGGACGAAGTAACACTGGGAATTCTGGAGGATGTCCTATACGAAGATTCAAAGTCGTTGGCTTTCATTCTACAAAATTTTTGATCGAATTGCAGATATTGAAATTTCTAAACAAGTTTTCTAGTATATATGAATGTTTTTTCATCGCCATTTTCTATAGTTATCCTTAGAGATGTTTAATCAATATAATGATTGTATGTGTGTGTGTGTGTGTGTGTGTGTGTGTGTGTGTGTCAATATATCTATTATAATTTATTGTAATAAAGGCATGTTATTATTAACTTGCCTTTTTTACTAAGTATATATAGATACCTATTTAGCACCTTTTTATATGTCATGCAATCTTTATTATTCTCCTTCTTCTTTTCCTTAACAGCCTCTGTTTTATAAAAATATTTGGAATCACACGCACATGTACACAATTTCTTTCCTCTTGCAAACTAATGTAAGTTGTTTTTCTTATCACAAATATACTTTTAAAACGTCATTGACATTTCACGTTTTACATTCATCTCTCATCTCGAATTGCGCGAACAAAACTGATCATTGATCGAGATGGAGCCAGTGATCGAACTCATTAGCGTCATCTAACGCGCCTAACAGAAATTTAGATAACATCATAATATATTATCGATAAGGATGCTACCTGTTTTTCCCTTTCGCGTCGCTATAATACTCTTCTGATACTATGTTATACATATATATATATATATATATATATATATATATATACACATACATATATGAACGTTACTACGCTGATCAAGCATTCTCTCAATTGCCATCGATTACCGCAATTATTGATTGTACCTTTCCACATGTAGAAATCGTCACGTCACTATTAAACTTCTTTCGCCAGAAAAACGTCAACCGCGACATTGCCACTTGCCGCTGCTAGATTTCTTACGTGTCTCTATCTCTATCTTTGTCTCTCTCTCTCTCTCTCTCTCTCTCTCTCTCTTTCTCTCTCTCTCTCTCTCTATTGCCCGGCCAACATCCAACATCCTGTTCGTGGAATTATGCGTCTAGCACGCACGTAACGCGCTGTTCTTGCAGATCATCGCTATTGAATCGTTCAAAAAGCGGATTTTGTGATACTTTATTCTATTTGCAGCAGAAATAAAGACCGTGGTGACAGACGAAGGATCACGATTTCATCGCGCGAGAGGGCCAAGCCCGCCCTCCTCCTATCAGAAAGTGAGTGATGCTATTTTCATCCAGTTGTATGTAGTTGTGAAAGGGAAAAGGATAACATATCAAATTTATCACAAAATATCAAGACATACAGATGAATATAAATAATGATAGAAATAGAGAGGGGTTATGTTTGGTTAGGGAAATTGAGAATTGGATGATGTGTAAATGTGCGAATGGATGATGAGCGGAATGACGTTTGACGTTTGACCAGTTTGACGTACGAGATAGACGAAGGAGAAAGAGAGGAAGAGAGAGAATTAGGAAAAGAGAAAAAACAATATACATAATATCGTGGGATTAAATATAAATATATTAAGTACAGAGAAATATAACATATAGTTGTATAGTCAAAAAAGTGGAGTGAAAGAGAGAGAGAGAGAGAGAAAAAGAGGCAGGAAAACGGAAAAAGAATTGAATAATATTAGTAATGTTATATGGAAAAATTAAAGATTGAACACACACACAATATGTAAGCGTAGAAAGGAATGGATATGAAATACGTATGATAAGAATGACGTAGTATTATTTGCAAAGAGGTAATTGTATTTTGATGCAAGCGTGTATGAGTGTGCATGTATAGTGTCGTATGGGTGTATGTCATGTGTTTTTTGTGTTCAATAGATATCTAACATTACAAAACTACTAAAACAGGTAATTTAGAGATTAGAGAAATAAATTAAACAAAAAAAATCATAAGGTTGATAAAACAGGCTAATGAGTGGATTAGCGTACATCGATAAAAATTGGAGAAGTGTATATATGCGCGTAATAATATGATATAGTGAGGTTATAAATAAAAACAAAGGAATCGTAATTATTTTTAGGTAGATTTATTGTTGAAATAAAAATTGCAGTCAATTATATTTCGAAAAGATATAGAACAATGACAAAATTATTGTCGATAAAAATGTTAAATAATATAATAACGCATAAATATGTAATGGTGCTTAATGAGTGTTGCAAACAAGATGACGTGGTAAGGTGTATTGTGTGTGTGTGTGTGTGTGTATATATATCGATACATTTATTTATTTCCAATCTTTGGCGTGTTTATTAATTTTTAAAAAAATCTCATCAAATTAATTCAATATCATGAAATTAATATTTTGCATTTTTAAAAAAACTAAAAAAAGTTGTACAAATTAATAAATTTTTGTACATGCCGATTATATATTATTAATTTTATCATTTAATCACATGTTTAATGAAATATGATAAATGACTTAATTTTTTTCAACATTAAAAAATATTTTCTGCATGACTGCATGTGTTACGCCTATAAGTGTTTACTATGATACTGGGTTGATAATTTGACCCTGATATCTCAGAAATATAAAATGAAGGTTTCTAAGTCTGCTGAGTATAATTCTACTTTAATTTTATTTTTGTAATCTACATTTTTGCATATTTTGATGTTTTTTCTCATCAATGCTGTGAAAATTTTAATCTATATGTTAGAGAAACGTTCTTCTCTCATCAATAATTTTTTCTTACGAACGTATACACGTTCATTAACAATATATTACATATATATATATATATATTATCTATTTTGTGTACCTCTAGCATTAAATATTTGCATATAAAATGGATTCAAAGATTTTAAAGATTACATAATAAAGTCGAGTCATGCAGAAAATAATCTTTGCATTTTTATCATGTGCATTTATAAATACACCTAAAGTATATATAATTACTATATAATTTATATATTATTTCAATCAAATTACAAATGATAACAATATAGAGTATAGAGCTTTATTTCTACCCATATTACTCAATGCAGTATTGCATATTTTTGCAAATTATATGTACATTTCATAATTATGAATTTCAAACTGTATAACTGAGAATTATGCAAGCTATATAAATATGTTTCTTTTGTTACAAGTTATAATTATGCAAATTATTGTAGACAAATATTTGACGCATCAAACAATTATTCCGTCATCTTTTTGTAATTATGAGGATATTTATGAAATAAAGAACAAATGTGATTACAGAAAACTTGAAAAATGAGTAGAACAAGGGAACAAGCAGGCCCGTCTAAATCGTCGGGATCCGCGGGCTCCGCGGAAGAGAAGGAGAAGGATGACAGGATGTTTGAGTGCAATATTTGTTTGGACACTGCAAAAGATGCGGTAGTCAGTATGTGCGGCCATCTCTTTTGGTAATTATTCATCTGATAACATACAGTGGAAAACAAAACATTATCTATGATAATCTGGATAATACAAATGTTAACGATGCAGTTGGCCATGTCTACATCAATGGTTGGAAACTAGACCCTCCAGACAGGTCTGTCCAGTATGCAAAGCTGCTATAAGCAAAGACAAAGTCATTCCATTATATGGACGTGGTGCCACAAAGCATGAAGATCCGAGGTATAATTTATTCCTTTTGTTAAAATTAGAAATCAGTTATAGTTATTAATTTCTCAGTAGTAAGTTGTATTAATTATACTTACAATTAATAAGATATAAAAATTATCCTGTACAATTTTGTTTATTTAAAAATTATATACATATATAGAGTTATCAAAATAATTCATCTGATTTCAATGATTATATATTTTTGAGAAATTTACAAATACATAATGATACATAGTACATACTGATAGATTAACCATAAGAAAAACTGTCCAAGTTTTGTCTTACTTTATAAGTGCTCGATGTAACTTTCTTTAGTTGCACTAATAATAGTCATTCTTTCCATATCCTAGCATATCTTTGTCGTTGACTTCACAACTGTAACAATGCGATTTTTTAATTCATCCAAATTTGTAGAATGTATACAGTTTCTTTTAAAACTATCCTCAAACGAAAAAGTGATAACTTATGATATGCTCTACGGCTAAACCCTTAAATTATTGGAACTTACGTCATACAACTTTTTCTATTGGAACTATATAAAGGATGCTGTGTCATCTTTTTATTATATATGTATTGTGATACTGTGTATGTATCACAATCTTCAAAAATCGCATTGTTACAGCTATGGAGTCAGTGACAATGGATATGTTAGAGCGAGTGGAAGAAGGAATTTGATTATTGTCTCAATGTTATTCATAATTATTGTAATTAAGGGAAATTTCATCAAGCACTTACAAGTCTTATAAGGTGAGAAACCAAACTTAAAAAGTTTTAGATTTTAGTTAATGGTTAATGCATCACTAATCATTATGTATTTATAAACTTCAAAAATATAGTCATTTGAAATCAGATGAATCATTTGAAATAACCCTGTATAATAGGAAAATTAGAGATGTCAAGCTAAATAATATAATTTAGATTTAATTAGTGAAACGGATTATTTCAGGAACAACGTACCACCACGTCCAGCCGGTCAAAGATCAGAACCGGAGGCCAATGTCGGTTTCTCCGGTTTCGGTTTCGGCGATGGTTCCTACATGTCTTTCGGCATTGGCACTTTTCCGTTTGCTTTTTTCACGTCAACCTTTAACTTCGGAGAAGCACGACCAAGCGCAGGTAATATTTGCCAAAAGTTACATAATGTAAAGTCAATGCAACAATGCACAATAGATAGGCATGCATAATATATGCATAACTGCATACATAAAATAAATTGCAATTTTATTTTTAGTTTTAATTTATGTGTAATATTTAATTTCTTATTAGTTTTTGTACATTTATACATATATGTGTGCGCGCGCATGTGTGCGTATAATACAAATTTTCCCATAATTTTTTTTTATATAGAATTCAAAAATATATTAATTAAATTTTAATTAATAAATGAAAAATAATTGTGTAATCCAATATTTCAATAATAATTAAAGTGAAAAACATTTTAGTAAGAATGAAAATATTGTTAGAGAGGCAATTTAAAATTATTTATTTGCAGCTCCTAGAGGTACGCCGCAATATGAAGAAGAGCAATTTTTATCTAAAGTATTTTTATGGTTAGCAGTAATATTCATCTGCTGGCTGCTGATGGCATAACATTGCTCCTAAATTTGAAGACATTAATTAATAACTTGCAATAATTTGTCTTATTTATAATATCGTTTTCTATGATAATCCTAACGCTCCAGTGGTTTCTATCTTCACTTTTTGGAAAAAAAATTTATGTATGTTTCAAAAAACCATCCAATTAAAATTTCTTTCTCTCCACTTTTTCTCTAAAAAAGAAGAAAAAAAAGATGTCCATATGAGCAGCTTGTTCATGCAAATTTTTTATAAAATTTTGTTGGCATTTGCATATTTCTAACTATGAAATAATTTCTCTCCAATTTTAACAGCTCTGATATTTCAATGTCTCTTTGTTACTTCTCTCCAATTTTAATAGCTCTGATATTTCAATGTCTCTTGTTTTATTTTATTCGTACATGTATATATTATATATAAATATATTATTTCTATATAAGAGAAAGGTGCGCATAAATCGCTTCAATATATTTAATATATTTAAAGCATATACAACGTATAACTTAAACGAGGATATAGAAAAGAAATAATTAATGTACATCATTGAAATATATTATGACGCGGTTTTGCGTAAAACTGCGAATTTGAACAGAATGTGTATATAATCTAGAGTTAATATATGAATTAAAATAATTATATGTATATTGTAATATATGACACTATATAAAATGAATTCTCGCATCAAATTTTTGAACTAGCTGTTTATCCTTTCTTCCATTTAATGATTCTCGCATTTTCACTTCAAGTTTCCATTTTTATTACAAGTTTGCACAATTTTTACAGATGCTTCGAAATTGTAAATTATTAAATTATATTTGAAAATAACCATATTCTAACATAATATAAAAAAAATCCTTAATTAACAGAAATGTATTTTTGCACGTTATTTTTAATTGTCGATAAAAAAAGAAGAAAATAATTTAAAACTATCATTAATTTATACATATACATGATTAGATAAATTATAATTAAAAAATTTTTTTAAATAAAATTATATGGAAAAGAAAAGAGAATTAAAAAGAAATATATATATATATATATATATGTATAATTTTTTTATATTAAATATTGAAAAATTGAAGAATATATGAAATAAAATATATAATTTTATTTACCATTTATTGTATGTGTGTGAATATATATATATATATATATATATATAATAATTGTTTTAATTGCAAATTATTGTGTATTAAAAAGTACATTTTGTTTATTATTAACAATTTGGAATTTTTTCTGTAATAATTGCTAAACAATATTATTCTAAAGCTTATTTGAAGTTCAATTAAGATATATTTTTTTAGGTAATTAAGATTTTTTAGAAAATCAACCTTTTAGATTGTTATTTAATCTATCACATACTATATTATATGTATATTATAGTATGTGAAAAAATTAACAAAATCTAAGACAAATATAGACACACACAGTTATAACATGTCACTTCTTTATAAATCCAGTCTCTGCAAAAAACCAGCTGTAATATACAATGCCAAAGATTTGGTACATTATAAAAAGGCTATAATCAGATATAATTTTAAAAATAACCTAAAAATAACTTAATAATAACATACACGTGTGTTGAGGACTAGTTGAAAGATGCTTACTATTGTAAAAAAAAATGTACAGTAAAAAAATAATTTTAATTTCTTTGAGATATGATAAAAACTTTATGAAAATTTGAAGAATTACTAGAAATAAAAAATATAGTGTAAATAAAGAAAGCTTAGAAAATATTCTGTAATATACAAATGTTATTTCCTAGATGTAGTATCATTATCCACAAATTGTAACTTGCAAACGTTAACATTCTCCCTTCTTCCTTTCCTACTTCATTAATGTACTATGGAGATAATAACAATTAAAGGAAGAAAACAATTTGTCAAAAGATTCTAATATCTCATTTGTCACTTTTTTTATCATATATTGCTTATTTTCTTAATACTATGAAAATGATATAAATTTTTTCATATTTTAAATATCTATGTGTATCTCTTCTAAAAAACTATTCTAAAAATTATTAAATATAGTAATACAGACATAAGTTATAAACAAAAGTTGCACAAGCTTTGAAACTGAAAATAACTTTTTTAACAATAATTCTTTTTTCTAGCATTATTTATGACTAGGCTAATGTTTCTTACGATAAGTATACACATATATTTGAAGATTTACATTTCGTCCTTATTGTCTTTAGATTTTTTAACAAAACCTTTAGAGACTAATAGCTCATTACATTCTTCTCGTGTCAATCTAGACAACACCAATCGCTCCACTTCCTCTTCATATTCGTTGAACAGTACAAGCTCTGGTATTGCACCTTGTATATGTTTGAATTCTACATTGTTGCTGTATACTGATTAAGGATAATTATTAAAATTTCCCATTGCAATATAAATAAAATAATTAAATTCAACAGAAATTTTTACAAATATGTCTTTCATTCACTATCTTTTCTTTTATGTGCTAATTTTCAGTTAACTTATTTTTAATTTCTTGCATCAAAAAAACAACTTGGCTAATACTTAATTAAAATTAGAAATTGAGTGTTAAATGTCTGCAACAGATATTTATAATTATATATATATATATATATATATATATATATATATATATATATATATAAAGTAATATATGATAAAAAATAAAAACTACACATATTGTAAAGGATACTACTTTGGCAAATCTTCATTGATAAATTGTTTGACGTCCGGCAATCGATTGAGTGAACAACCACTACAACTCTAAAAAATGAACAATAAAGATTGTACTAACATTATAATGCATCGATCTATAGAAAACACAATTACACAATCACAACTTCTTGATATGTAAAGTTCACTTTAAATAATAAATACTTGTGATGTAATAATCACATGTGTGATTATACGTATACATGCAAAAAATGAGTTCGCATACGGTGCATTTTAATGAATGATTATGTCGTTCATTATTAATCGATCTAACATAAACATGAAATTTACCTCGACTCTCGCGAACGCATAATAACTATTCGCGGCATTCGCGAGAAAAACAGAGAAAATTGCAAGTACGAAAAAATAGCTAACAGCGGACGCCATGTTGTTTATCAAATTTCAACTTTAATTCAAAGCAGGAGCAACTGTAGGAAGCAGAGCCAGAGCCGTAGCGGTCTCGGTTTGTTGTGCTTTGAGTGCTTTCCGATTCGATCCCGTGCGCAACAAATCGCGAGCATTCCATTGTTGCCTATTCCCTATTATCCCTCTTTCGCTGCCGCTCCTTGGGATAGCACCCTAATGCTTGTTGCCGGTTGCCGGCAACTTCACTCGTTACAACGAGGAAAATGGCGCTGTCTTGTGCTAGTGAGTGTTTGTGAACACGCAAAATTATTTGTAATCTCTTAAGCTAACTTATCTTTCATTCTTTTGCATGATATCTCAGTTTCCTTGATAATGATTAATAATAAAATTAAATTTATTGTTAAAAAAATATCGCAGTTTTGTGAACGGCAGAATTGACAAACATAACCTAAAAATATTTTTATTCCTCTGTAGTGTATACTAATAAAAATTGGAAAACATAATGAGAATATAAAATATAATATATAATAAGTAGTTTTAGCTATAAGAAGAAAATTTTACAAAACAATCGAATTTATCATACTGTAGATATTATTTTATCAGCATTAATATTTATATTAATATTTCTAATGAAAATGTATATGTTTATATTTTATATATTATTTTAATATTTAGGAAATTTAGACTATATTTAACATATCACAAATTATAACATAATAATTTTTGTGAAAAGTATTAAAAATTATTTGTGTAATTTACAGTTTCTAATGAGGTGCCGGAGCACCCAGTAGTATCGCCTGTCTCTGGATCGATATTCGAGAAACGTCTTGTGGAAAAATATGTGACTGAGAATGGAGTGGATCCTATCAATGGCAAAGAACTTACTATTGAACAGCTTATTGATATTAAAAGTACTGTTAAATTTTATTTAATATGTTAAATGTTCTAATAATCTTTTATAACTAATTATCAAAATCTACTGTTTGTTACAGCAACTCCAATTGTCAAACCTAAACCACCTAGCGCAACTTCCATTCCAGCGATATTAAAAAACCTACAAGATGAATGGGACGCTGTTATGTTACATTCATTTACATTGCGACAACAACTTCAGACTGCGAGGCAAGAATTATCTCATGCCTTATACCAGCATGACGCAGCTTGTCGTGTTATTGCTAGATTGACAAAGGAAGTTACTGCTGCTAGAGAAGCTCTAGCCACTCTCAAGCCACAAGCTGGAATTGTTCAAGCCGCTACAATCCCACAACCTGTATGTTATCAGATATTATTTATGTCATATATTATATCACATATATGTACACAGACAAACGTACGCGCGTGCACGCACATACATACACAACTACTTTACCACAAATTATTTTAAATGTCAAAAAACGTAAAAAAGTTACATCTGGCATTTTATATATTAATAATTGTAAACGTTCACAGTTTTTTTGATTAATTACTTTTTAATTAGTTGTGTGTGTGTGTATATATATATATATATATATAGAATATATATATATATTTTTTTTTTTTTTAGGCTGTGGCAGTTGAAGCTGGTGGCACAGCAGCTCAACCAATGGAACAAGCTGGCATCACCGAAGATGTAATTCAGAAATTACAAGAGCGAGCAACCGTTCTCACTCAGGAGCGAAAGCGACGTGGACGCTCAGTACCAGAGGATCTGATGCCTCAGGATAGTATCCGATCATTCCAGACTCTCGCGTCGCATCCTGTAAGAATCTTTTTTTTAATGTGTCTTTAAAAATTTACTACCCCCAGTTATTATCTCATTAACACAACTGCTTGATACACAAATATTTATTTGCACTTTATGGATCATGCTACAACTGGCAGGCTAATTTACCTTTGATGTCTTGTCTTTGCCAATAATCTTTTATAGTTCTAGTCTTTAAACACTGTGTATGTTTTTTACATGTTACATTTATGTAAAAAGGATAATGGCAATCATTTGTCATACTCATTTGGCAATGTTAAATATTATGTTATAAATGCATTGATAAACAGTTTTAATAAAAATAGTATTTAATAATACTTATTAAGATTCTAAGAATTTTAATAGAACATAAGTATTATAGAAATAAAAGTACATGCAGAGTATTATTAATAATTGAATATTATGTAATTATTTGCAGGGACTGCATTCTGCTAGTGTACCTGGAATCTTGGCACTTGATATTCATAGTGCAGACACTAGCAAGATCTTAACAGGTGGTGCTGACAAGAATGCTACCGTTTTCAACAAGGATACTGAACAAGTAGTGGCAATTCTCAAAGGTCACACAAAGAAGGTAAGTAATCTCATTTCATTGATCCCCTTCAAACTTATATTAATTTTTTTTCGTTATACTTACAGGTTACACGAGTTATTTATCATCCAGAGGAAGACATAGTAATGACCGCATCACCTGATACTACGATTCGCGTGTGGAATGTTGGCACCAGTCAGACGACTTTGTTATTGAAGGCTCACGATGCTCCAGTAACCGGATTATCTTTACATCCGACTGGCGATTATCTGTTAAGCTCATCTTTAGATCAGCATTGGGCCTTCTCGGACATACGCACCGGCAGATTATTGACTAAAGTACACTTTAAATAGACTTTGTAATATAATTATATATAATAATTCGCAAAGTTGCTCTAAATCCAAAACAAAAAAAAGAAGAGAAAAAGAAAACGATTCGTAATTTCGTAATTAAAAATAGATTGAAACATGCATCTCGATATAAAAAAGATATGCTTAAATTGTTTAAAGGTGGCAGGACAAACAGGACAACCGCTGACCACGGCGCAGTTTCATCCCGATGGTCTAATTTTCGGTACTGGCACGGCAGATTCTCAGGTCAAGATCTGGGACTTGAAAGAGCAATCTAATGTTGCAAATTTCCCGGGCCACACCGGCCCGATTACAGCGATCAGTTTCTCCGAGAACGGATATTACTTGGCGACCGCCGCAGAGGACTCGTGCGTCAAACTTTGGGACTTGCGCAAGCTAAAGAACTTTAAGACTCTACAGTTGGAAGAATCTTACGAAGTGAAGGACATCTGCTTCGATCAAAGCGGAACTTATCTAGCTGTAGCAGGAACGGACGTGAGGTAAGTTTTTTATTTTTGATAATGTCACTAATTATTCTACAATGATAATAATAATGATTGAGAATTAATTAATTACATGTATATTAAGTAATAATAAATATCGAATGTGTCTTATTTTTTTGAAGAATATTTTAATAATAGATTAAATTTGCAATGGAGATATTACCATTTAATATAATACGATTAAATTAATTTGAAGTAGCTCACATATTATATATACATTTTATTATTTTTAGAGTATATCTCTGTAAGCAATGGCAAGAACTGAAAGTTCTGAACGATCACACGGCGGCGGCTACTGGCGTTCGTTTCGGAAAACACGCACAGTACATTGCATCCACCAGCATGGACAGAACTCTGAAGCTCTATGGATTGACATAAATAGAGAACTTGAAATATATATTATAAATTTCACATATTATTTAATATTATATTAGATAATTCTAAATGTATCTAATGGAACTGAATCAATCTTGATTTAATGACTCGATTTGTTGAATTTCTTTTATACGATAAAGTCTCCTTAAAATTAATTTTACTACACAATAATCTGCTGTATGTTTGTGTACGCATCTATATCTGCGCGCGCTTGATTGTTCGTAGAACAAATACTAATCTGCACACTTGGGACGACAGCTCCATATGCGCATAAATACACAATTGGTCTTTGCGCTATAACTAAGATATATTATTAAATTTTTCTTTTCCAGACATTTTCCACTTTTTTCATCCCATAGGACTAACATTAACGAAACTCTGTTGTATATTGACATAAAAAAAGTAAACATGTGCAAGTAATATAAGAATCTATTTTGAAATTTATATCTAAAAAAAAGTAAACTGCAAGTTATAAATTTGTCACATTTTTTCTTTTCACAAACATACACGTACACGAATGAATTTAAATAATTTGACTATTTGAAAAATTCCTAAATTCCTCGCTTTAGACGAAAATTCAAAATATTGCATTATCGCATATTTTTCAATAAGTGATTCTTACTTGTAAATTGATCATACCAAATAAAATATATTTTCAATTATTAAATCATACATATGCGCGACTTATGAAGAATAAATATTTTATACAATTATAATAAAAAAACTTCTCATATATTTTCCATATACGTATTTTTTTAACACATCTGTAAATATATGAAAACAAAAATATGTCAAATTTGCGAATATATACATGTAATAAAATAATGAAATTAGAGAGAGAAACCTATATTATATAATCAATAAAATTAAGTTAATTGAAGTTTTTTGATAGTCTTTTGATAAAAATCACACATAAAAAATATATATTTATTAAAACTCAAGACTAACATCTCAATTTATTAAATGTTATTTCTTCAATTGTTATTATTGAAAAATGGAAAACGTAGATCGGTATTTTTGAGATTCTTTTGAATCCACATATCTGCTCTAACATCCAGTTCTGGTGTAAAAACGTCTTTCCATCCACCAATGCCACCCTTTCGAATAAAATTTTCCTTTTCGATAATCCCACAAGCTCTCAATTCAGACATATTAACCATGTCATTTGTGCGAAAATTTTCGATGTCTAAGAACTTTGCAACTTTGTTTATTTCTTCGTCGCTGTATGTTTTGCCCAAAAATTCCGCTATTTTTTTTATTGTCTTCGGAAAATCCTAGAAAACATTTAATAATTTTATCTTAGATTAGTAAATGCATCGCACACATAAAAGTTAGGGAAACATTAGAGAGAAAGTGAAAAGGGAAGAATCAAAACTAATAAAATATACTAGTATGATAAATAAGAAATTAAAAATATGCTTACATTCTGCATTTCTTCGTAAAATATAAATAAAACATTAGGATGATCTTTCAAATCCCAGGCTTCAAGAACATGAGCCCAGTACGGAGACCATGGCGCTAAAAAAACAAGTTAAAAGTTACATTAAAAATTCTCGCCACATTTATTGACAGGAAATTATTTAATAATTAAACAAAAAATACATGACGCAATTTTTTTTGTTATCAAATAGAGTAAGATATATGCGTGTGAAAATAGAGAAATTATATTTATACAATATTAGCGATTCTTAACATCTCAACCATCACTCATTTGCCTAATATCTCGAAATATATGCGGTCTTGAAACTAAATTTTCTTTGTGATTCCGAATTTTTTTTTAGAATTTTTAAAGGTTTTTTATCAATTAACTATTATTAATTAACTATTTCTTTTCAAAGATATTAGACAAATATTCAAATAGATTTCTTTTTGTATTTAACACGTTAACTTTATCTAAAATATTGTTATGTATATTAATAAAAAAATATACATAAAAATATTTAGGAGTAAACACAAAAATTGTACACATTTTTTAAAATTATGTAACACAAGTTATAACATGCACAAAAAATAATGACAAAAAATATAAATAGCTATCTTTAAAAATAGAAAAAGAATTTATCTTTTGCAATCTCTTATATAACTATGATTTAAAAAATTTATATAACTATAAACTATTTAAAGACATTTATGTTATAATGTAAAGATCATGATTTTCCGTATTTAATTCTAAGATCTACTTACTAAGGTCGTTTTCAAAATAATTCCAGAATGTTGCAAAATCGCCAATGAAACCTTGGGTTCGAATTGCTTTGTTTAAATTGTACCAGGATACAGCAACGTCTTTCGGATTTCGAGCCACATAAACAATTTTGCAACCAACGTCTAAAATCCCAGGTAACAAGGTGAACGGAAAATGAGTTTTGATGAATCTCGGAGTCGTGAGTGGAATTGAAGCGATAATTTCATAACCAGGCTTAGCTATGTCTCGACATAACTGCTGTTTCATGGCATCTCCTTCATTCATGGTAATAAACTCGCAGGTCACATCGGGATGATTAAATAAACTAAACCTGAAGGGTAAAGATTTGATAAAAATAAAACAAAATTATAAAATTTAACACATCTACATATAATACATATGTATATATTATATATAGAGAGAGAACACAATTTGACGAAATAAAAAGATTATAAAATCATTATGCAATTGTTATACTTTAATCTTTTATCGCAAGATTATAATGCACAAGTGCATGTATCATTAATTTATGTTAAAATTTATGCTAAAAATGTTTCACCCAGTCACCACATACTCTAAAAAAGGAAATCTCTCTGATAAAAAATTCTTTTCGGCTGTCTGAAAATCCAGATCATTTTTTAAGAGCCAAGTTAGTTCCATTGTTAACGTAGTGCCTGCAAAAAGCAAATAATTTTTCATTTTTTTATCTTTATTAAAAATAATAATATTTAATTTAATAAGATAAAATAGAGAATAAATTTAATTAAGAAACACTTAATAGCACACATATATTAACGAAAAATTGAAAAATTAATAAAAAAACAATGGAGAAATATTAAAATGTTAATTAGAGGATAAGAAGACAGAACTTTTTAATCTAAAGATTTCTGTAAAGTAAATATCTTTGCAATGTCTTTTTTTCTTTCTTTTGATTTTTAATGTTTGAATGTATAAAAGATATTGCCACATTAGGTATGTATCAACAAAGCACTCATAATTATAGCTCGTAACAAATTATGATAACTATAAATTATGATACACTTAATTACTAATTGTGCATATTTACCGCTTCTAGGGTATGACATAACAAATGTGTCATTCGGCCTTATTTTAAAATTATAAAAGCCACTACCCTGCTCTACATATCTAAGAGGAAAGACATATTTTTTGGGGCCAACCGAAATCCATCCACTTCTTTCTCCTCGAAAGTGCTCCAACATTTCCTTAATTTTGACCTCTGGCAAGAGTTCGTATTTTGGAATCTGCTGAGTCATCTTCGTCTTTTATTTCTTTGAATTCTTGATCGATTTAACGCTACAATTAGTTACAAAATTTTACAGAATTGCAATTAAAATAAATCGATAAAAAAACTTGATAATTATTATTCGGTATGCGCAAAAAAATTTCAAGAATCTCCGAGTCAAATATGTCAACTCACGGAGAGATCCGATCATGAGCTTTCTTTGCTTTTTGTCAGCGATATCTGTGTTGTGTTCTTTGACATTGTTGATTATGGCTCTTTATTGTTTTTCAATTAAAATACTATTGACATTTGCGCGGAAACGCGTTGCGAAATCTGGCAATAAAATAAATCAATACACACAAGTTTTTCGCGTTTTTCAATCAATGTATTGACCGACTAATAAAGTAAAGAGAAACACTTTTTTTCTTACAATACATATAAGCGACAATAATATTGATACTCAATTATATGCAGAATGAAAATATCAATATAATTTTCATTAGTTATGATAATTGTTTTCTACTCACCGGCGTGTTAAGATATCAATAACTTTCTGACAGCCAGCTAGTGAATCGAAGAGTCTACTGGTAATGACCTCAAATCAAAATTCAGGCCAACCGGTTTCTCCAATTTACTGTGTGCCTTTTATACTTTCTTCTTCCTTTTCAATCTTATTATCTTTTTTCTTTTTCTTTCTCTTGCCTATTTTTTTAGAATTTTTTATAAAATCTAGTTAAACAAAAATTTTTAAAAGTATTAATATACTAACATCGATGATGGACGAGTCTGTGTTGGTCAAATTTGTTTTTTCCTCAAATTTTTCGATAAAATCCTTATTTGATGTTTTAGATTTTATATTACTCTTTGGTAATATTATGTTTTCTTTGTCCTCAACGTTATTATCGTCATTCGTCTTCTCCTTTCAACGAAAAAATTATTTATTAATCGAGCATTATCGAAAAACAGAAAAAAATTATTTATTTTAATCATTCAATTATATAAATTCTAATATCATTATAAAAGTTTTGTTGTGTGAATAGTATACTTACAGTAGTACAGCAGATGAGTTTCTTCTGAATTGCATGGTAGTTGACGTAGAATACACACGTGAAATTTAATAAACTTATTTTCAAGGCTAACAATAAGCCAATTTGTTGCGACATATTATCATCTTCTTTGATCTGAAATAGTTCAATAAACAATTTTAATAATAAATTAATAATAAATATATATCAATTAATAAATAAACTTGCAAATCATTGAAGAAAAAAATATCAAAATTATTACATTTTATCAATATTAATTAGCGTAAATTTGTAATAAATAATAATAATAATAATAATCAAAATAATAATAATAACTTTGCCTTCACATTAATTTTATATTATAATTTAATATGTATATATATATTATTTTATAATAGCAGCATCATTAAAAGAAAATTCGTATTAGGAAAATGCCACAAAATATTTGTCAGATTCAACAAAGAGCAAAAAATAAAAATTGATAATCCCCCCCCCCTTCTCCCTCTAACAATACAAATTATTAATTTTCTTACAAAATTAAAATAGATATTAATATGTCGATAAAACTCGCATTATATAAATGCATAAAAATTGAATGCGTTATAAGTAAAATTGATATTAATAACTATAATTTATATTAACTATAATTATTTTATAAATTTATATCATTAATAATTATATTTATAATACGATAAATCTGAGAGAGAGAGAGAGAGAGAGAGAGAAAATTTTATATATATAAATATTTATAATAAATAACATAATATAAAAACGATAAAAAATACATACACACACACACAAATCCATATACAAAGCTATATTCTCAAAAATTTTACTATAGATATGAAAATATTTTTCGGTATAATTTTTTAGATTTACCAATGTCCTTAAATTAAATGCAAAATACCCGAGCCTTTTAAAAGAATAAAGTTTTCCTATTTCTTTAAAAGCTAAAAATAAAATATTACAAAATATTTAAAAAATTACAAAATACTATAAAAGAATTCGATTGTTATTCTTAATACTTTTTTAAAAATAAATTATAATTGTTTTTCATGGACCATTTCGTATAAATACAATAAACATAATTGCTCATAATAAAATTTAATTGTAAATTTAATTATGCTTAAAATTAACGAAATATAATTAAACCTTATATATGTAACACTAAAGTTATTCATTTGATTTTAGCTTAATTTGCTTAAAGTTGCGTGTAGTAGAATAAGATGAAACAAGATGTCCCAAAAATATCGTACCTTTATTGAGGCAACGGTGGAATCGTTAAACAAGCTTTTTATAGGAAATTTACAACCTTACATATGTATATACATATATAAGGTTGTTGAATCACTTATCAATTACGCTTAATTAATATATAAACATTCGTCGATATAGAAAGAGTATCACCTTCTAATTATACACGTATATATAAAATCGCGCGTATTGCTTAATAACTCAACTAAGAATATAAGAAAAATAGTACAGTTAATTATATAAATATCTCATCATAATGCGCACGATTGTATTGTATAATATAATCGTACAATAAAAAGATTTCTCCTTTTAATAACTCATATCTAGAAATGTCTATCCTCTCTTGTTTTATCGCCATTTATTTTTAAAAAATATCGCTTATAACGCTTGCAGCTTGTTTGTATATTATTTTTTATCCAAAACTTGGACCAAGGCACTTGCATCATATTTTTTTTGTACAGTTTTGTATCGTTGCTATTTGTAAGAAAAAGAGAAATATACTATGTACACATATGCATACATTATACCAAAAATATGTAACATTTTATCTAACATTAGTCTGTATTTATAACATGTTTATATATGTTTAACATTTGTTGTAAAACGGACTCCAAAAGATAATGAAACGCACAGATTATCGCAATTTTGTGTTTTTCCATGAACACACTATGTGTAAAGATGTATAGAAAATATCTGCCCTTGTTGTGGGATTATTGATTTTGGAAGCCCTATTTCTAATATATTTCGCGTGCAAACACACACACACACACACATACGTACATACATACATACATACATACATACATACACGTACACACATACGCATACAACAAGTCATTAAATTTTTAATAAAAACTATGCAATTATTCGAGTAATATTTTTGGCCGTATGACGGTAAACGTATTGTCTATATTACAAAATAGAGTAAGCTTTGCTCGAGTACTCGCTGTACTCGAAAAAAAGGTATTTTAAAAAATCAAGTATGCTTTTACAAACTATGCATCACATTTTGAAACAAGATCGATATTTACTAAAGATACCCCAATAGAAGAAAGATAGAAAAGGTATCATAATGTTCACGAAACTTGACCCGATTATTCAAAAATGGAAAAAAAACTACAAAAGTGCAAAGATTTATATAAGAAAAGATTATTCATAAATGTTAATTAATGAAAGAAAGTTGTATGTGTAATTTCTAGAAAATAAAGAATTAAAATTAAAAACAATCAACTTTTCCTAGACAAGAGACGAAACGTTTTTCACTATTTTATTGCTATGCGCGCAGGAGCGTCAGCGTCAGGAATGACGTCGAAAATTAATCGGAGCACCAAATATACACAATACGCAATAATCGCCTTCCCTTGAGCAATGTTCCATCATGGATAATACTCTTTCCGAGTATTGAATCTCGAAATTTTTTCTCCTTCGATCTTCCGTGATTTCTGTGATTCAGTCAGTCTATTAGAAAATCTCTCTCTATCTTTCCATTTCACTTCCTCTCAAAACCGACGAGGATCGGAGAATCGTTCGTCTTGTTTCGAATGCTAATTCTTGAATGTTATTTTTCATTAATCAATGCGATCGTGGACGCGACGGAATCGTTATCGTTGGAGGTGCCCTTTTGCTTGCCGGCCGCAGCAGTCTTTTTCTCCTCAAAATGCCGTTTCCGATGCACTTTCATATTGTCGCGACGGTTAAACTTTTTGCCACATTCCGGACAGGCGTGAGTCTTCTCGCCGTGTACGTGACGATGAGCGGCTAGATGACTCGCTTGCGCGAAACTTGCGCCGCATTCCTGACACACGTGCTTGCGCAAACCTTCGTGTTTGAGCAGGTGCTCGTTGAGAAATGCCTTGGACGCGTAACGATTGTTGCAGATATGGCATGCAAACGGTTTGGGATTGGAGTGTTGCAGCACGTGCGCCTTATACTTGGAAGCAACTTTAAAGGTCTTGCTACATGTCTCGCACGTGTAGGTGGTTGCGTGACGGGTTTTGATGTGTTCATTCAACACCGACAAGCTGGAATAGAGATTATAACAAAAGCGGCAGCGAAAATTTCGTCGTTTTTTCATATGAACGCTAGCAATATGGCCAAGTAATCGCGTGCGAAACGGAAAGACTTTACCGCAGTATTCGCATGCGAGATTCTGCGGGGGTAGATGCGACTTCATGTGGATCTGCAACGAAACCTTGTGATGATAGCTCTGTCCGCAATCCGTACAACTATACGGTCGCACGCCTTTGTGAACATTGTCGTGTTCGGCTAGATAAAATTTAGATTTAAATCGTTTTGGGCACTTGGGACATTGTATAGGTCTGGGATTTGTGTGCGAGCATCGGATATGCTTCATCACGTCGGATTTGCAAACAAATTTGGCGTTGCAGACGACGCACGTATACTGCTTGATACCGAGATGCGTTTTTACGTGCACCGTGCATTTGTCTCGACGCTCGTAAAACTTACGGCAGAGTTTGCACGCATAACCGTTCTGCGTACCGTTCACCACATGCTCCACGTTGTCGTCCACTTTAATCTCCTCGCCGTCTATCTTGAAGAGTTCCTCCGGATTCTGCGTCGCCTCCAATTGTTGCTCCAACTCCGCCAGATCTTTCAGCTTCGCCGCTGCACTGCCGTTTTTTGTGGACGTGCCACTGAGGATGCCATTGATAATGCCATTTATCTCCACGCTGTTGTCGTTCTGTAGTAGATTCACGATCGCCGTGTCGACGAGACAATAGCTTTGATCGGGAAAGATTCGTGCTCGCACTGTCGCGACATCGTCATTTTGCTTCTGACACAACTCTACGGTAAAACTGATATCCTCGGCATCGTTATTTCGATTTCTCATCTCTTTTACAGAGACCTCGATGTCGGGTGAATTAGAAACGATGGTCAATAATTTATTCAATGTCGAGGTCGGCAACTGAATCGTCGCTGATGAGTCTTGCTGTTGTTGCAAATGTTGCTGCTGCTTAGGACTCTGTTTATCCGTATTCTCGTTGTTGCTATTACCGTTGGCCGAACGAGCGTTGATATTATTTTCTACATTATTGTGACTTCTCAGCCTATTCGCGATCGGAATCTCCTCGTTGTCCACCGCGAACAACGATGATGAGTCCGCGCTTTGTCTACTTCGAAGCCAACGAATTGGCGATGTTTCTGTTATATTTTGATTGTGTACATTTTTCTCTATATTAGTTTCATCGCTGTATTTGGAAATTTGTTGTTGTTGTTGTTGTTGTTGCTGCTGCTGACTGCGAAGGCTTCTCAAAGTCTTTGAAGCGGTGTTTCTCTTCTTTTGTTCAATTGAGTCCTTGACGATGACAACGACGCTAATATCACTCTGGCTCTGACTCTTCTCTGCTCGACTATCTTTAGTGGAATTAAGATTTGTTTCAATACTGTTGTTATTATCCGTCGACGACGCACCCGCCGGGGAAGTTGGTTCTTCGTTCTTTACTTCCGCCTGGAGAGAGATCGAATTAAAAACGTACAAGAGTGGGTACTAGAATATGCCTCTATAATTCTGATAATAACGCGAGTAAAAGCGATCGTAAAATTGAAAAAAAATTCTTATCTGGATTTTCATTAAGATTTAATCATAAATATTTCTATAGATCATATATTTTTTCATTAAGATATTTTGTATTAAATCATATATTTGTCTATTATAATGATATTTCTTAATAAAATAATAGAGTAAGTTTAATAATCGAAAGAATTTCCAGTTGTATTCAAAAGAATCGTAATATAGTTTATTAATATTTTTCAGTAAAGATAAAAACCTCAGCAGTTGCTCATAAATTGCAAAATATATTTTATTTATTCATGTATATATATTCTGTTATATTGCATTTATTATTTTGTAGTACTTAGTATTTGTATTCATTATATAGTATTATATATATTTTGAGAGAGAAATTGAAAAAGATATAAGAATCAAAGGATAAACTGATTATACGATCTAGACTAGAAAAAGAGCGTGATAAAAGAGCAATAGAGCGGTAGATGAAATATAAATAAATACAGAGACTTACAGACTCTGTTAAGGGCGGTAGATTGTATCGATCGCGTAACACTTGTTGGGTGCGTAGACACTCCTCTTGGAAGTCACAAACGAATTCGAGCTTGCCCAGACATTGAACACAGATCGCCTTGGGCAGAGGATCCCTCTCATCTATCTGTGATTCATAAACAGAAGCAATCTAAATACTAAAAGATGATTGTCTGAGAAAAGACGACATATTTTTATTGTATATCTCGTTGTAATTTTTAAATAAATTCTTATTTTCTCTCTTCCTGTCGTTTAATTTACAAAATATCAATCATATGTTCAAGAATGCAATACTACCGCTCTGCTCTATAGATATAACCAATTTATGACATATATTTACATTCTAGTACCCAACTCTAGTACTAAACTCCACGATAACATCAAGATTGGACTTATCAACAAACTTATAATTTATAACAGTTACATTGTTACATTGTTTGTTACTTACAATTTTAAATAAAGTACACTATATCCTTTTCTCCAAAGAATATTCACATAAATTATTTGTACAAATATACAAATAATTTGTACAATAATCATAGTACATTTATGCACACTTGCACATTTAAAAATAAACACATTTTTGTGTGTATATATGTATATATAATTTCATAATTACTTTACAATCAACAGTAATAAGGATCTTAAAGATTTTATTTTTATAGAAATTTCATTAATAAAGTATTTCGCATAAAAGATAACATCTATTATAGATTGCAATATATCCAAGTAAAACATTGAAATTATGTGATAATGAACAAAATAAATTTTCAATATAGCAACAAAATTATTACTACTAACAAAAAAATTAAATCAATTACTTTTGATATTACAATGTTACCCAATTTTCTCTTAAAACTTTGGTACTAATATTATCTCATTAAATATATTGCAAATATATATTTCTTTCATTAAAGCACACCAAATAAAGAGTACAATTTGTTAATGATGAAGTCTCTTATTTTGTAATGAAGAAAGCAGAGAATGTGTGTGAAGAAAGCTCGACGAGTATACAATGACAAAAGCAAGTTACAAAATTATTTAAATGAATTATAAAAGCCACACAAGTTTCAATGTTTTATTTTTAATTTATTATTTGCAAAATATCAAAAGCTCTGGGTGTATGTATGTGTTTTTTTATATTGTATATATATTACTCTTTATATTTATGTGTAAAGTATATGTTGCGTTATTATATTTTTCTCTGTAATTATTTTAGAGTAGAACATTGAAGCTGAAAGCAATTTCCAAATAGCAAATTAATTTTAATTTGTTATAATTAAGATATAAAAACCTTGCTCAATTACAGATTGCAGTTTGATAACCTTGATATTGCAAACAAATACCTTTTTGTACATATACAACAGTGAAATATACAATAGTAAGATATAAAATAAGTAAAATAATAACTGCCAAGCAAGCATTGTGCACAAACATACAAATTCTGCAAGTTTTGAGGGGGAAAAATGGAGCGAAGAAAAAATAAACGAAAAAAGTATAAGGAGAAATTAATTCTTTCTTTTCCTCCTCGTATTTTTCTTTTTGTAATTTCTATTAAACTATTTTTCTAATCCTCCAAAAAAGTATGATGAACGATGAAAAATGAACAAAAAGAAAACAGAGACAAAACTGAACAAATATAAAAAATCCGTGGGATGGTGCAAGATTTAGGAACTTACCAGGATGTTGATTTTCCTGTAGATTTTATGGCCCAGGTATCGTTTGACGCCCTCCTCACCAAACACATCGATGTAAATTCTCTCATACTGGCCGCAAAGCCTGCACATTTTTGCCTCCCCCTCTTCAACATCCATTCTGGTTGATCTTGTCAATAAATGATACACGCTTGAAAATAGGAAACGAGGTAAGAAATGACAATAAAGAAGTTGGGCTCGCCGTTATGTATTGTACCGACGCCACCACACGGATGACGCGATGTCCACACTTTTCTTTCACGAATATTCGTTTCTTTATTTATTTTGCGGAGGACACGGTACGATTTGTTTCAGAGCAAACAGAATTTGACGTTAGAAACGAAAGTTAAAACGCGCGTGAACGGGAAGCTACATAAGGAAGGGGCAAAAATGGAGAATACTACATTGGCGTTACTACTTGCTAAAACGATATCCAAAGCCATGAAAAACTCTCGGAGAATAACCGCATTCGAGCCAGACTAGCGCTTGCGGCGCTTGCGCCACGCACGGAGCATTCACCAATCAGCTGCGCCACTGCGCTCAAACTAAGGGCGGATTCACACCTTGGCAGAAAAGCAGATGCCAATCAGAGTATCGATTCTGGAATTTTTTCCAAAGGTGCCTTTTCATACGCAACGTGCTGCAGCAGCAAATCAGTCACATGATTAAAATTTATTAGAGCATATTTCTTTGTTCTTTTATTATTTTATGGTTAAAATTACGATTTTTGCTTTTATATTCTCATAATAATCTATTTTATTCTTAAAATCCATTATTCAACTAATATAATAATAATAATTAGAATCAACTAGTTGTGAGTTCTGCTTTGCTGCCTTTGCTGTTTGTTCAATTGAACTTCATCAATAGCAACAAACTGCTGCGGCAGCATGCTGCATATGAAATGGTATCTTTACGGTGGAAACACCAATAACCCTATCCTATAATTTTATAGTAGTCGTAGAGTCTTAAGTCGTAGAAATTGACTAATTACAGTCGATTATTCTTCTGAACTTCAACTGTGATTGGTCAATTTCTACGACTTACTACTCTACGACTGCTATTTGTAAACCCCGCATAAAGCTAAGTCTATATTGATCGTAGAATCGTAGATCGTAGAAAATTGATCCAATCACAGTCGATTATTCTCCTCATATTCAACTGTGATTGGATCAATTTTCTACGATCTACGATTCTACGACCAATGTAGACTTAGCTTAAGGCCGGATCTACAACAGGTGTAGTAAGCTTTAAGAAATTCACCAATCACAGTCAAGAATGAGGGGAATAATTGACTGTGATTGATCAATTTCTTAAGGCTTAGAACTTACATTGTAGACCCGACCTAAGACCTCGTTCAACCAATCAAGAGATGTTATGCGGCCATTTGATTGGTTGAACGAGGTCTTGACGATCTTAAATATAAGAACGGACTATGAATACCGCCCTATGAATATCAGCCATAGCGTCAAGGCGTCAAACGTCAGGTGAAAATGCATCCTCATTCACAGTCAAACGTTGTATTCTCTCATATGTTTATCTCTACATTTCAAAATAAATTTATTTATTCCCATAGTGAAAGTTTCATAAAACAGATTACCAGGAAAATTAATTTATTGCACAAACATGGTAAGAAAGATACGAGAAGAAAAATAACCGAGATTAGACAAATGTTTATTACAAAATTTGTTCTTTTGAACAAACAAATCGAGGTTAATGATTTATACTAAAATAACTTTTCAGTTTCAATTCGGGTTTAACATGTTTCCGGAAATTCCGCGGCCTTTCAACACTCAGTACAAATGTTTTTCGGTGTCGATGTTACCCGGGACCTATCGTCAGGATGTTGAGCGTGGTGGCAAGAGTTAGTGAAAATTGCCAGTTATATAAAAACGAAGAAATACTTTGCATTGACTAATTTATTTTTCAGTTATCATGCCGCCGTCCGCTCTTGAACAACTCACCAGACTCAATATTATTTATCCGATGCTGTTCAAATTGACTAATAAGAAAACAAATAGAATCACTCATTGTGGTGTATTGGAATTTATTGCTGATGAAGGCAAAGTCTATTTACCTTACTGGGTTAGTGAGCGATGCAAATTTTACTTTGAAGCCATAATAAGACTTATACTATATTGCAATTAAAATATTAAAATGTTTGTTTTATCATTAAAGAGCAAGTAAAAAAATATTCTTTTTATCTAGCATTTGTATAGCTATTTATGATATATCGGTAAAAAATATATAATAACTAACATAATAAATTTAAAATAATATATAATAATATTTACTATTTTTTTTTAGATGATGCATAATCTTTTACTGGAGGAAGGCGAGTTACTAAATGTAGAGAGTGTGTCGTTACCAGTTGCAACATTCTCGCGCTTTCAGCCACAGTCGGAAGATTTCCTAGATATTACAAACCCAAAGGCTGTGCTAGAGAATGGTTTACGTAGCTTTGCCTGTCTGACTACAGGCGACTTAATCGCTATCAAGTATAATCAAAAAATTTACGAGATGTGTGTTTTGGAAACTAGACCTGGTTCGGCAGTCAGTATCATTGAATGTGACATGAATGTAGAATTTGCACCACCAGTTGGTTATAAAGAACCAAAGAGAGAAATGAGAAAGGAGGAAAATGAGATGGAGGATTTAGCTGATTTGATGCCAGTACCGACCGGTTTCGTGCCTTTTAAGGGTGAAGGCGTCCGGTTAGACGGCAAGAAGCGCAAGGACATACCAAAGCAGGAAACTTTGATTGCTAAACCAACTTATGTTCGAGGAATACCCGATTACGATTATCAGATAGGTACTCTGCGATTTCTACGCAACATGAAACCAACAAATAATAAGGAGGTAAGTATTAAAATTTAAATGATAAAAACAATTTTGAGTTCATTAATGAGATCATTAATTCTGTGTACAAATATATGATTAATGTTTTATTATAGATAAAAGATTCAGATGAATTTAAGGCGTTTAGTGGTGAAGGATTCACCCTTCTGAGAAAATCTAGAAAATAAAAAGATGACACACACATACACAAGCGTTTATTTTCTTTAATTTATAAATTTTTTATGACTGTTTTGAATGAATATTTCTTGTAAGAATGTTCTATTGTGGAATGTTTCTTATTTGTTATAAAAATGTGATTAAATAGTCAATTTTTTACAAGACATTCTTTAAGTGTTAAAATTATATAAAATAGATAGAGAAATAGAGCGAAAGTGTGTTTAAAATCTTTCAAATGTTTTTATTTCAGAGAATGTTATGAATGTAAAGATTGTACCATGATGTTTTGACACTGCATATAAAAGAAATTTCTTTCAGTTATTAATGACAGTTTTTGGAATTTTTCCATTTCATCTACTAATTCATTTTATATTCAAGAAAAAATCTATTTTTACATAATATATAATCCATATTATTTTATTTACAACAAATATACGATTCTGTAATTATGTTTAAACCTTATTTAATTAATTAATTAAATACCTCGAAATGAATTGCAAGCAAATGTTACATGTTTGTATGCGATGTTCGTTTGAATTTTGAGTATAAATCGCAATGATTGACACATGCTGAATATTTTATTTTGAGTCTTAACTTTTTTTATATTCAATTCTCTCCACTTTAACTTCGTCTCCAACCAATTGATACACATAAGTGACCACTGTTGAACTCTGGATGTCCATCAACACAAATGAAGGTATGACTGATCTGAAAGAAATAATAAAAATTAAGTTTTTTTTACAGAAACTTGTATTAAATTAATTATTCGTATAAATTATATTTCTAATAAGTAATAGGATCTTTAGTCGTTTTTTTAAAACATTTTAATTATAAATTTAAGAAATAATAAAACCTAAAAAAATTTTAGAATAGATAAAAAATATAGTTTGTAAAATATATATAGTTTGTAAGTAACTGGTGTTTTTTTATTTTTAAGAAATACTTTTATATAAAATTTTTGTTTCTATAATTTTTCTCAGCCTTACGTGTCCAAGGGATTATAAGCTCCAGTAGCCGATCCAGGGTTGATGTAAAATTTATTTTCATGTTCATATGCTTCAAATTTATGGGTATGACCAGATATTAGAATATCAACGTCCAACTGCCTTTGTATTAGTGCTAAAGATTCAGGATCACCCCATGGTACCACTTGATGCCCATGAGAAAGCCCAATTCTGAACTGGCCTACAGTAACTACTTTCTGTTCTGGATAATTTAGATTCTGTAATAAATAAAATGTGTCTTTATATTTTATCTTATATATATATTTATATATTTAAAGATGCAATTCTTTAATCAAGATAATTCTTAATAAATATAATCTGTATACTTTAAATGCAATTAATTTCAATATTTATAACTTTGCTTAATTATATTCATTACATTTTATTATAGTCATATTTAATTATTATTATTATATATATATATATATATATTATATTACATATATGTCTAATAATATATATTCTTTAATATTATATTTCTATATAATTATTATTGGAACTAAATGCATACCTCATCAAAATCTCCTCTAACTACATGTACATCACTGGCTAGTGTTTTGAGATAATCGTAAGATTCCTTTGTACAAAGATTGCCAGTGCATAAAATATGCTGTATTCTACCAGGTACTAGCAATTTTTTGAATTTACTTGGAAGACTGCTACATCTGTGTGGAATGTGTAAGTCACCCAATACTAACACAAGCTACAAAAAAACTCGTTTCTGTAAATATCTATTTTTAAATTAAATCATTATAAAAGACTTTATGAATTTAATTAAGTAACACTAAGACTAACTCAAAGCTCTTTAATATTAAATATATAAATACAATAAGAAAGGCTTTAAGAGTACATCAGGCTTAGTACATCAAAAATAATTCGTGCCTTGTGCACAATTGTTTATTTTCAACAAAGTTAATTTTCGTTGAAATGTACGCAGGAACATCCGCGTATGGCTCTTAAGGCCCTTTTATTTAATTAAGTAATTTTTGTTGAATATATATATATATACATTTCAATAAAAAAAACTATAGGAGAAATTAGCATTTATACTAAGTAAAAATTTAATCTCAAATAATTAAAAAAAATAGAAATAAAATGAAAATAATTTATTACAAAACATTGTGTACATATATACGTATAAACTTGTTTTGTAAAGTAGCACATCTTTAATCAATGGCCTAGTGTGCAAGATATACATATATAAAACTGCTTTTATGGTGAGGTTAGAATATTAAAACGATTAATTTTCAGTTTTTAGTAAATTTACAAATTAATTTCTTATTACTTACCATGATTTCCTTAATTAAATTTTTATATTAATATATTTCGATATATTTATAATCTTTTCTATATCAATAATTATTCTAATGAGTCATAGAAGAGGCAGAAACGTCAAACATCAAAAGTGTATGTACCATGGACACCCATGGATCTCAATATCAATGGTTTAGTTTCCATCGAAGTTTTCAATTCGTAGTTAGTGCAATGTAAAACCAAATTTAAATCAATGAAAATGTGCTTATTGGTCTAATTTATAGTAAATAACTAGTAAACTGGTTTAGTCATTGGTTACAGCAAAAAGTTACGGCCAGTATAAACCTGCCTTTATTCATTCATTTATACAATATTTTCTTTTCTATAATTTTTGTGCTTATGACCGCGCGAAAAAGTATGAACTCTGTAGCAAATTTTTTCCAGGAAGTTATTACAAGGAAAGAAAAAAATTTCTTACAAATATTTTTATAAATACCAATATTATTTGAAATAACAAGGACATAAATATGAAATGCGTTGTACCTGGAGGAAATGTCAAGGGTATTTAATTCTTTTTTCTTTCATTTTAGGTTATATTTTGCACTACTACTTATTATGTATAATGTAAAGAATTTATCGCTGCTATTTATAATTTATTTTAATTATTTATTTCATGATTAAATTTTTTTTATTACTTATGCTTTATCTAATATATCCTTTTTCTTTATATATATTATTTGCAAATATACATAAACATACATATATATATATATATATGTATATATATAATGAATATTATACAAGTGCTTCTTACGATTTAAATAAAATCTTGTGAAGAATTTAATGTATATGCATATCAGAATTTTTTTCGAGTAATAAATTTATAATGCTTTTGTTTAATTCTTAATACTTCTCAATAGTGTTGGCAAAAGCGATACATATGCTTGCAAAAATTGGAGATGAGATGTATGTAAATCCACAACAGGAATTTATATCTTTTTGCACAGTTAATATGGCAAAATCAGCATATTCCGACATTACATTTCACAAAAATTTCTTCTCTTATTATACACTGGAGGATGTTGAAGAAGAAGAGGCACAGAAGTGTAAAATTTCAATGAGAGTAATATCTTTTCTTCTATTTCAGCATTATGTATTTAAATATCTAATATTTTTTCTATAATTTACAGAGTGCTATGACTGTCTTTAAATCTGCGCACACATTGGACAAACAGATAGAGAATTGTCACATTCATTTAGAGGTAGATTCCTGTAATCTAATATTTATCTTGAAATATAAGAATGGTGTCAACAAATCTCATTTGTCACCCATCCTGGATCCTGAAAAGTTGCAAGTACATAAAAAATATTTTCCACATTAACTTTTGGCATATAAAACTTGTGTATAGTTTTTTTATTTAAATATAACATTAAAGTATGAGTAATTTTTAGTAAAATACTAAAAATTCGGATAGATGTGACTTTTCAATATTGAAAAGAATGCTGTGTGTATCTTATATCTAAATATTTTGTATTATAGTGTCTAATTAATCACTTATTAATAAAGTTACGTGAATTAAATAGGCATCATATTCTAAAGCTGGTATGACCAACGAATTGACATCGCGAGCTCGAACATTGGTGGATGCTCTGCAAAATTTTCCACAAAACCTGATTGAAATAACGCTTGAGATAACACAGCATAAGTTGTTGCTTAGGAATTATATAGATGATGCATCAGGTAAATCAAGTATACATCAAGTGTAATTTCTAACACACTATGCAAAAATCTAATTTAATATAATATTAATAAAAACAAAATAATATAAAATATTAATAAATTGTTGCTTACAAGTTGATTATACCTTAACAAATAATATTCATTCAACAATTTGGCATACAATTTGGATAAAAATATAATGATATAATTATTATTTAAATAATTTAATAACAATTGTTTTTTGTTTTTATTTTTGCTCCTAATAATGTTATTTGATTTTTTTTTAGTCATGGTAAATACAACACGCACTCAATTGGCTTTTGGCATTGGAGAATTTGATCGCTATACAGTGGGCAATGAGACAACCATCACATTTTGTTTAAAAGAAATCAGAGCATTACTCAATTTTAGCGAAAGTATAGGAGTCCCAGTCAATATAAGTTTTGAGACAGCTGGAAGGTATGCATTATAATATATAGGCACTATAAACTTCTCTTTATTAGATATATTTTTTTTAATTCTTTTAGATATTCTGTTAGATAGACAATTAATCACATTAAAAAATAAAATTATGCTTATGTACAATATATTTTAAGCAATTTTACCAAAGAAATATTCTAATTAGTCTTAGAATTTATAAATGTTGATTTTATATGTTAAATAATAATACAATTTTGTTTGTGTATGCCTGTGTGCACATATTTAAATTATATTTTAATAAATATCTATTTTACATATAACATTTTTCAGACCAATGCTGCTTACATTAAAGAATCAGGGATTTGAAGCAAATTTGTTATTATCAACTTTAAGCCCGGACAGTTGTAGTCAGTTGGATTCGTCGACTGTCAATAGACAGGTGCAACCTCGTCGAAGGAAAAATGCTTCTTCGAGAAGTACTTCCAGATGTGTCAATAAATCTTCAAATCGAAATAAAAACTCCACTGTTTCTGCCGAACATATGATGAATAATACATTTAAGAATAAATTAGAGAAAAAGACAAATCAGGCGGACAAGAATCAGACGCTCAATCAGGCTACTTCTATAAGCACTGTTTCTGCAAAAACGAATAATTCCATAAATAGTGCTCGAGAGAAAAATCAGAACTGTTTGTTATCGTTTAATCCTGGCAGCGCAATGTCTTCGACAATTGGTAAGAAAATTCCAAACGATCAGCGAAAATTGGTGAACTCGGTGTTTTCTAACATTGCAAAACGGAAGTCGACAAGCAACGAGGAAGATTGTAGATTGCAGGAGCAAGTCACAGAAGAGTGTGTAAATATGCAAGAAAGTGTGCCGCGTTCACCGCCGCCGTTACGTCAGGCGACCAAAAGAGCCAGGTTAGTGTTCCAGAAATGTTTTCAGAACACTTTTGATCCTCGAATGTTACCTGGTCACGATACCATCTTGGTGGAGGACTCTGACGAGAATAACAGCGATTGAATTATTGTCTCCACATGTATTATATATGTATACAAATCGGAATTGATCAAAACTGAAATTGATTTGTTCAGTATTACAACTGTGTAATTACACGACATTAAAATTTCTAGACAATTAACTGTAATGTTTTGTTAAAAAAAAAAAAAATTATTCTTTTTCAATTTAATTGATTTTTTTGAACGATTAACAATTCTACTTTTTCACTTGGAAGATAAGAGAATAATTATTTTTCTTTCATAAAAATTTATAATTTATCAATTTTAAAGTATATTATGCTAAATACAAATGAATTACATAAGTATAAAATATATTATTTCTTTAAATTTTTATTTAATTTTATTTATTTATAGAGATTTTTATAGAAAAAAATGTTATAAAGTGTTTCAAAGTTCATTACAATTTTTTTCAATATTTATTCCACATGCAGACATTAATATTGTTATATATTATATGCATATGTATATTTAAACACAAATCTTTCATATATATTATGTAGACAAATTCTAATTCTTGCACTTGTACGAACTTTATTAAATCTAATTTTCAAATGAATTTAAATGTATTATATACACGCATTTAAAATATACACACACAATCAGCAGAGAATTATTTTCAAAAAATAAGTCAATGGAATTTGAATTATTATAAATAAGACCTTTTGCAAGAATTTTGTACCTGTAAATAAAGAAAGTCTTCATATATGATTTAAAATCTAAAGAGTGTGGGTTCTCTTCTTCCCTTATTTTGTTGCTTCACTCTTCTCAACTTCTCACAAATGGATATGTATATTTTATTTTATATATAAATATATAAATATCACAATTACATAAAAGATAATTTCGTAAATTTAAATTATATTAATTTTCATCTGTAATAACAATAAAGATAAATCTTTTTTGTCGAATTTATAGTAAAAATCCAACTCTCGACTTTTGTGCGCGTGATTCCACTCTAACCTTGTGCAACTCTAATCTCGCGCGAAGGATGCCTCTTGAATGCATTTTCTGGTCAAGAGTCAAAAATTCATTGCGGATGCAACTACAATAAAAAAAAAATATATATATATATATATATATATATAGATATACATAATATAAGGCTAAGGAAGGTATAAAGGGAAAACATGAACGTTCTAAGGCAAGTAACGTTTAACCTGGCCGCCCTGAGCAGCGTAGGTCTAGGAGGCTGGTATCTGGGCAAGTTCTCCGAACAGAGGCGATATTCGAACGAGAAAGACAATGAAACGAGCATTTTATCGAAGATGACAATTCGAAATATGCCAGGATTGCCTTTGTTTGGCACTGTTTCGGCGGCTACTTCTTTGACATCCGCTGAAAGCAACCGCGAAATGGGTTCCAAAGTGTCTTCCACCGCTGCGAGAGTGTCGCAGGTACGTATACATACAGAGTCGAACAAATTTATTCAGTGACATCTAATTTACATAATTTAATCATAATTAAATGACAGGAAGGGGGGAAATATATATAAATATATTAAAAGGATAATGTAAAAATAGTTAAATAATTATACCGATACATAACAATTATACTTAAATATAATTTTGTCATAGTGGTATATATAATAATATAGCGATGTTTAGAGAAACATTAATGATTAAAACCTCATGATAAAAAAAAGTAATGGTAAAAATATTTCACTGAACATTGTGACAGATTATGAAATTTGGTTTTCCTGGATTGGATCATGTCAGATCGTATGAGGATTTTGTGTTGTCGTATGACAGGAAGAATAAAGTTGCTCACTGGGTATTTGAACACTTGGCTAAAGACAGACTACAGCTTAAAACTGAAGTGAATCGTTCAAAGTGCGAGTTCAAGTCTGATCAGAGTATACACCCTTTTTTCAGGTAAACGAGAGAAATAAAAGCACAATTACTTAAAATAATTTTTACATATTAATTGCACAAAAGAGAAAGTTCACTAATTTAATAAAGTAATTGAATCTTCCTTTTGATGAGATGTCAATAGATCAGAGAATATAGATTACAAGGGAAGTGGTTACGATCGTGGTCACTTGGCTGCAGCTGGAAATCATAGAATGGAGCAAAAACACATGGAAGAAACCTTCTTTCTTTCCAATATGGCACCGCAAGTTGGTGTGGGCTTCAATAGAGATTCTTGGAATAGATTGGAAAAACATGTTCGAAAATTGACAAACATCTATAAAGATGTTTATGTATGCACAGGGCCATTGTATCTTCCCAAGTGCGTCTGTTTTCTTGTAATTTCTAAAATTTTGCATTTATTTGTTATAGAACATATTATGATGTAACAAATATTTTTTTTACTATTTTAGCCTGTTTTCCTTAAAATATTAATTTTAAAAATATATTTTATTTTATTTTTTTATAGAAAAGAATCGGATGGAAAGAAATATGTACGTTACGAAGTGATAGGCGCAAATCATGTTGCAGTACCTACTCACTTCTACAAGGTAGTTGTTGGTGAAACGAACGATGGCAAACTGGATATGGAAGCCTTCGTGATGCCAAATGCTCCAATCGACGATAACACACCACTCACTAATTTCCAGGTATGTACATATATGTATTTAAATGTCCAAGTATGATAAACAATTAAATCGTTAATACAATCAATCGGAATGTTAAAATTAAATAAATAAGCTGTAGTATCTATTGCTGTGGTATCTCTATTAATATCTTGTGTATATTGTATCTTATTTATTTAATTCTTTTTATTATTCTATTTAATTTTAATATTCCGATAATTAAAATATATATCATATACTATATTATATGATATAAAATGTAAGAAATGAATTTATGAGAATATAATAAACAAGAACATAATCAATTTTAATAGGTGCCACCAGAGAGTATCGAACGCGCTGCCGGACTCTTATTCTTTGACAAAATATCGCGCAATAAACTAAGTAAAGTAAATGGCAAAAGCACAAGCTGACTTTTGAATTTTCTACAATCATAAAGATTCTTAATTTCTAATACATCGTCAAGTATAGGTCTAGTCAATTAAAAATTCCTATTGTACATATAAGTTTTAAAAGTTTTATCAATTATGACGTCTCTTACGATATATTATTTTAGTTATATTTTATCAAAGTAATAAATATGGAGCTGTTTATTAAATTATGTATGTATTTATTGATTTTGTACATTCAGTTATCCACTTGGAATAATTATATCTACTTATACAATATGCTCTATTGAAGTACCCTTATCGTTTCGACTTGTCATGATCACATTGATTAAGATGCTCGTGTTCGAATTTATATATTTATTCCCTTGTCTCTTTTGTCAGAAGAGTAAGCAAATCTGAATTATTTATACAAGATATGTTTATGAAAAACTCTTTACACAGAGAAATGGAAAAAAGATACTAATTTTCTTGAATTATACATATTTGGACAATTAAACTTTTTTTTTTAATTTTGGCATAACAAAGTAATAAACTTAAAAGATGGATTGATTTAATTAATTTTTATGGAATATATTTATATTTCTTCGTTTCTTTTTATTTCATGTTAAAAATTCAGTCTTGAATAAACGCTTTAAAAAATGAATAAGATATGAATAAGACATGCTTATAAAAAAAGTCGTTTATATAATAAATTCTTACAACTTAAAATCATCTCGTCGCTCTACTTTGGTCGTGGTAATATAATTACGTACCGATTAATAAGTACTATTCGTTATCATTAAATAATACTAATAGCCATACAAAAATTCTAAGTATGATAAAATCCTTAAGAATCTTCTCGATTTATAAGCTAATCTATGTACAAAATTAACAGGCGCAACGATATGCGTGCGTTTGGAGTTCTTTTTTCTCTTATTCGCATCGAAATTGGGAAACGCTCGACAATGAAATTGTCATTTCTTCACAGTAAGTCTGAATACGTGTCGTTGCTTAATAATATTTAGGATATACCTAGTATATATAATTCACGCGTAAATAGGCAAATTCAAAGAAATTCCATTATACATGATTTATTGAAAAAAAAAAGAATAAATTTAAAAACAAGAAAAGATTAAAATCGCATTTTATAAAATCAAATTAAAAAATAAAATTTAATAAAACAATACAAAATGAAGAATATTAGAAATAAACTAGAACGAAAAAAATTATATATATCATTTTTGGGAAACGATCTTATTAAAGCTAAATTAAAAAAAAATTATTACAAATTATTATAAATTTAATTAATATTGAACTCTATATGTAGAGGAAAACAAAATTTAATTAAAATTAAAAAATAGCATATATGTGTATAATGAATAATTAAAAGAATGAATAGTAGAGTAAAATGGATAACAAAGAAATATGAAATTTTAATACACAGAAATCCTTTAGGATTTTGAGAATTAAAAATTTGAATTCGCAAATTTCTACATTTCTTCTAATTCGCCTATTCTTTCGCAAATGTAAGAACATCTATACATATTATTCTCGGAGATCTTTCTTATGTTTTACTCGCACGCTTTTTTGGAATGTTGTCTAGTTTTCTCCTTTAATTTTTTATTTTTTTAACAATATTGCATACATCGCGGCTTATAAATATCTCTTTAAGAAAAATTAGGCACTAAAATGGACGGGTTTGTTTGCTTGGATTTGTCTCCTTCGAGTATTGCTTAACATCTTAAGGACACTTTTGAGAGCTTTAAGTACACTTCATTATAATCTACATAATCTAGTATTTTATGCGTATCATCTACAGAGTGTATCTCAGAAAAAGAGAAAGAAAGAGAGGGAGAGAAACACAATCACTCTCCTTACTATTTATAAAACTTTTTTTAGGCGAATACATCATTGAATTCTCTAATATTTTTTTTCTCTTCTATTTTACTTTTAATATTTATAAATTTACAATTTCTTGTATCGTTTAGATACTGAGCTTTTTAAGCTTATTTTCTAGGATTTTTGGATTCATAAATTTTCAAGTTTTCAAATAATTGCGTTATTATTGGTCCCTCGGATTTATTTAAAGAAATTCTCATTCAAGATTCTTACTTTAATAATGATCACTTCCGAAATAGAAATTATTTAAGAAATATGTTAATGCACGTTATATTTTTCCTTAGAGCATTCTTTACGCTATTTAATAATCTCGAAACAACACAATGTTTTCATTTCATTCCAACGTGACGCGGAGTTTTCGAAATCTATAGACAAAACTTGATCAAGAATTATATTTTCTAACGGCAAATATGCCATACGAAAAGTATGTTGCGCGCGAGAATGTTATTATTAAATGAATTATTGATAAATATGCATATATATATATATATATGTATGTATGTATGTAACATTATATACCAATCATCTTAATATATTTGAGATATATTCTATTTGTGATTATTAACATAAATGCTTATAAAAAATGTTAGACATTTAAGTTGCTCTAAGATATACCATGACTTTTTTATTTATCTAATTTTGTATCTTTTTTGTCTAACTTTAATCTTTATTTCATTTAGAATGCTACCTCGCAATATCTCAAAATTAAAATGATTGGTAAAGGATAAGATTTTATATGCATATTTATTTTATTATTAATTTTGAAATCCTTCTTTTGCTCATACAGTTGTCATATAAGCAACCAATGAATTAAAAGGATTTCACGAAAATTATTTAACTAATCTCAAAAGTTCAAGATTTTATCTGTTATATAGTAACTTTTTTCTAATTTCATTTATATCTTTTTGTTTTATAATAAAATTAAACGAGGACTAGAAGACGCGATGAGTAACCGTTTCGATTTGGTCGTTCATCGAGTAATCTGTATTCTTTAAATTGAGAAACTTTGCAATCAAATAATTCGCGTTTTCGAAAGACTAGGCTATACAAACGTATTCCTCGATATATGGAAAGATTTGCTGCGATTGCAATTATATATTTTATAATTAATTAATTATAATTAAACAAACTTACAAATAAAACACTTAATCAATGATATTAATTGTTAGTTCATCATGTTAATAGATATACTATATATAAATTAATAATTAAAATATTATAATAATAAATTCAATTATTTTAATTTATATGTATATATCATAATATAAATTTAATTTTAGAAAAATCTTAAATCTCATAAACTTTATAATCAAAAAAGAATTTTATTGCAAAAGCAATATTTTATCCTTTTTTTGCTGTTATAAAATCTGCTCTTTGGAAAGAAAAAAAAACAGTTTCCACATATCGAGATTCGCCGTCCGCATTGCTTTAATTAAATTCAATTACGTGTCTTTAATTAAATTAATCTTTCTTCTGGTGGAGGTTTCATCACATTATCCATTTCCACTCGTGGATTGCTGAATTCTTGAGCACTGGGACTGTAGGTGCCACGTGTTGCACGCTTCTTTCTCGCCATCATGAAAAACGCAACAAGAGAGCCGATAGCGATGAGGAAAAGACAGCCCATGATCGGGCCCACAATTACCGCTATGTTAAAAGCTTGACTACCTAATAAAGTTTCTCGCTAAAAAATATTTAAAGAAATTTTTAATATAATTATAAATAAATTGTATATATATTATGTATACTCTCCGCAAAAAATGGGTCACCAAATTTTAGCAATTTGTGCTTACATTTTTTATCTTGTGGATTATTAAGAGGAATGTTCAAGTTTTAATTTAAGTTTTGGTTTCTCTCAATACATTTTTTTACTGAGTTATCGCAATTCAAAGATGTCAAAAAATTGTTAAAATTGTTGCTAAAATTGATGGCTTATTTTTTGCGGGTGAATGTGTGTGTGTGTGTGTGTGTAAATTATTTACATTGTAATTATTTCAATCTATAAACAAGGAAATGTTTTTTATAAAATAATAGATAATAAAATACATAATGTAAAATATGTTTTAGTTTGTACAAACAGCTTTTTTATAAAAAAAATTTTACCTTCGCATAAAACGCCGATTTTTTGCAGAAATCGAGAAGAAGAAACTTAGACTTTTTTTTTTGTAAAAAGATTAAATTTACAAATAATCTGCGACATGCACATTCATATGCACACATATATTTATAGCAAAAAAATAGAAAATAATATTTATAATTATTTATAATATAACGATTTGATTTTTTTACAAATAATGGGATAATATTCTAATATAAAAATAATAAAATAGTAAATAATGTTCATAAATTCTAATGTTCATAAAAAAATTTATATTATAAAAAAGTATAAAAACTTGTATTAATTATTAAATAATACTAATGATATAAATATGTTCGTTCATACATATCGTAAAAATTCGAGAAATAAATACTTGCTTCTTGTTCGAATAACTATTATATAAATGTAATGTAGAATAATGATGACATACATTTCGTGTATTCTTACTGTGTTTATCACGTTACTGACAATAAGAGATAAACTAATTTTTATCTCTTTGTATCATGTATGCGTATATATAATTTTGTATTGTGTACATAATCTAATTTTCTCTCAATTTTATCTTACCTCCAATGTACAATTTTGTCCCATGTATTCAAGAGTGCATTGACATGTATATCCACCATTTTCAGCACATTTACATGTTCCACCGTTCTGACAATAATCCTAAATACAAAACAAGGATAATTAATAAGCTTATGTATACATTACATATATAAGCAAGTAAAAACAAAATTAATGAATATAAATGTTATATTATTTCACTTTCTTATTTTTAAATTTTTATTATAGTTTTATATATAGATATTATTTTATTATTATAATTTTGAATTTTCTCGAATGAGAATCGTAATTTAATAAATCATTATCAATTCCATATTTTTTTCAATTTTCTAAAAGCTTATCTATGAATTTCTTAAAAACAAAGTTTTTGTTTTTTATTCATTAAATTTCCCCAGCAATATATTTTTTTTCTAAATATCTATTATTTATTATTTCTACCATTATGTTTTCTTTCAATTATTATTTTTTTATTTTATTTTATAACAGCATGTTGAGAAGCTTACCTCCTGACAGGGATCCATCATGCCACAATTGTGCCCGCAATAGCCGGGATCGCAAATACACTGATAGGTACCAGGCAGATTCTCACATTTACCGTGTCCACAATCAAATTTGACACTTGGATTTTGACATTCGTCCACGTCAATGGAGCAATCGGAACCGGTGTAACCGGTGCCCTGGCAGTCGCATGTAAAGCTGTTCACTCCGTCGTAACACTTGCCATCGTTCTTGCAAGGTACATTACCCTCAAAATCCGGCGCGCAATCGTCGATGTTGGTCTCGCAGTATATGCCCGAATAACCGAGAGTGCAGATGCATCTTGGCGTCTGTTTTATAACAGTATTAATTACACAATAATTAGAAAACATGAAATTTTAAGAATTTAAACCTGTAAAAATTATATAAAATTTGAAATAAAAATTTAAATTTAAGAAATTAAAGAATTGGGAAAAAATCTTAGAATTTTCAATAGGAATTAAATAAATAGAATTTAAAAAATTTAAGAATTTCATATTTTAGAATTTAAAACTCTTTACAATTTAAAACTCTTTAGAATTCGAAAAAAAACACTTCAAGAAACAATTATATGATTTATACCTATATAGTTCTAGAGGAAATATTGTAAATTTCTTTAGAAGCTCTAGTTTTAATAAATAATTTTAAGAAATTAAAGTGTATTAATAATTAAATTTTTACAAAAAAAACTATATAAGAATTTAAAGTCTCAAATTTTCAAACTTTCAAATTTTTTTTCAAATAAATTTAGAATCCAAAAAAATTTGAAAAAAAATGTTTGAACTTCAGAAATTCAATCCTAATTTCTACTTCTATATAATTACATAATTGCAAAACTTTTTCTAAATCAAAAAAATTAAATTGTATAATAATTTGTGCGTGCGTGCGCGCACACGCAAGAATTTTTAATCACGGATTCTAGAGTACTACTGAAATGCAAAAGATTACCTGATATAAAAATTCACATCTGCCGCCGTTCTGGCATTTTTTATTAATGCAGTAGGGCGTGTCGCAGGTAGGGAGTTCGTAACCGGGCATGCAATTACAGGTAAAGTTAGTGTTCGTCTTCGTATTTGGTATGTCCACACAAGTACCGCCGTTCTTGCATGGTTCGGTCTCACAAGTAATTAGCCGTAAGCTCTCGCATAAGACGCCGGTGAATTGATCCGGGCATTCGCATCTAAAGTGACCTGGCAGATTCACGCAGACACCGTCATGCTTACACGGACTCAACGTCACGCACTCGTTGATGTCGCTGTCGCATCTGTGGCCAAAAAGAAGTCGATGAAAGACAGTGCTCTTTATGATTGTTGAAGAACAGTTTTACTCTATTTGTAGGATTTATCTGACATTGTGATCATATGATATGAGGTTAATATGTGATATCAAAGTGATATGATAAGTGAAGATTGATAAGAATGTTTTAAAGATTGTAGTTGTTGTAGAAGATATTTGATTTGTCTAATATGACGTATGCGTGTTTCTTTATATTTTTAAAAAATTTAAAGTTTTTAAAGAGATTATAGGAGGTCTCATATACAAAAAAATCTTTAATTATAGAAAGTAAAATTATTTTAATATCTTTAAATTTTAATATAATGAAACTAAAGTTGCCGAGAAGGAGATTTCCTTTATGCATGAGAGCTAATAATTAAAAAAAAAAATACTAACAGCCATCCCTGCCAGCCAGTTTCGCATACGCAGGTGTAATTTGCGATACCATCGACGCAAGTCGCGTTGTTCTGACATTTATTGCCAACACACTCGTCGATATTGAAGGAACAATCATCTTCGGCATAACCAGCCGGACACTCGCACACATAACTGTTAGCCTTATCGAGGCAATAGCCATCGTTCTTACAATCCGTGTCGAAACATAGCTGGCAGCCGACACTATCACGATGAGTGGCATTGCCATTATCCTGCAATGCTAAAAATTCTAGCGGCGTAAAGTTTGCATTCTGATATACCTCTTCGTACGTAAAATAATGTAGTAATATGCTGCCGATACGCACTTCGCCCAAGCAGCCCTTAAACGGTTCTCCTGTTTGACAGAGAAGAAAAAATAAACATGATTTTAAGAAAAAGTAAACTAAAAATATATTGGTAGTTTCATAGTAAGAATTATAAACAAATTAAACAAATTGAAAATTAATAATAAAGTACAAACGATTAAAAATTAAAAAGATCTCAAATTTTGAGAATGAGAGGATTCTAGTACACGCTTCGCTATGCATTTTAAAAATTTTAACATAAGTTCAAAAAATTTAAAGACTATTAACAGACCGCACTCACCGGACATCATATCATGCGCCGGCATAGCTGTTGTCAGCTTATGTTCATTGTAATCTACATTATTGCCCTCGATTCCATTTTTTCTTTCATGTTTGGATCCAACAGTAACATAAGTATGTACATTGGACAAGCCACTAGAAAGTCCACCCAGAGTGACCGTTCCTGCCACTAGGAGATCGTACCACAGTTGGAAACTAAAGTTAGGACTTATGTGAGGTTGTTCTTCGGTAGGATTGACGTAACCACATTCTACAGAATTATTGTTCAATTTAATAAGAAGCGAGGTCCAATTTCCATCAGGTTGGCTTTTGCCAAAGGAAACAGTGTTCTGATTTTGCTTATCAAGTCGCCAAGATACGGACACAATATCCTTGAAAACGGATACAGTGAAGTGTTGGTCGCCCACGCGAGGTGCCATATGGAACATCGTGCCGCCAGTGTTGGATCGATAAGTGATCTCAATGGTATCAAGAACAAGGTCATCGGTAACCATAACATCGGCGCGTCCATACACATACATGAAGGCAGTGGAGATTCCATCAAAAGTTGCGTTGGCGATACACTCGTAACCGTCGTCAAGATTCTGGCAGCGTGAACCTGCAGGACAGTCCTGCAGTTGACAAAACTCCATCTCTTGGCAAGTCTTGCCAGTATAGCCGCGCGGACACTGGCACCAAAAATCGTTCCATGTTACGTGACACGAGCCGTTGTGGTTGCACGGGTTGCTTATGCATACGTTGTCCGATACCACACCCTCGAGGACTTTCTCATGGTCGAAAGAAACATTGCCGAATTGAACGAGTGTGGGAATGTCATGTGCCTAGAAAAGAAAAGAAGCTGTAAAAATCCTAAAGGTGGAAATACAACGATAATAAAAGATGTTGAAGAATGATGAAAATAATGATTAAAATAATGCAAGATTTAAGATTTTAAAAAATATTTATTTGTGTATTTAATAGAAAAAGCTGTATGTAGATAAAATATATCGTAGAAATGAGAGCGCTTGACGAAAAGATTTTCAAGATCATTGAAGCATAATGGAAAAGATGAAACGACATATGAATGCGATAGTGTAGTAAAAATGAAGAAGAGAATTTTCAATTACCTTTAACGGAAAGAATTCCACGACCATCGTTTTTGTTCCATTCGATACTTGCACGTCTTGGATGACTCCCTTGAAATTAAGCTGCTGCATTTCCATTGGCTTGTTATCGATTTGGCGAATATATCGTGACGTCTGTGGTAGTCCTCCCAAGTAGAGAACGGTCACATTCAGATCTCCTGTAGCGCTGATGGTTTTGCGGAAGTATTCAGTGCCGTTGATCTTTACCTGAACGAGGGTAACGTTCCTCGCTACTTGGATCAGATGATTGTTTCCGTCGTTGAGTTTCACGCCACCGACAGTGTAAGCCTCCGTGCCATTGAATTGAATCCTCACGCGCAATTCTCCGCCCTCCAGCTGCGCCGCTATGTAAGTTTTCTCTTGTGACTTTTGATCATCCTGAGAATCCGGCTCTGTACCTAGGTAGAAGATATCACCACGACTCTCTCTTGTGCGAATGAACATCGAAATATCGACGACCGAGCTGACGGTTCGTCTAGCCGCATCGCTGACTTTTACGGACACATAACCGTCGGTGATATTCTCGTAACCAAACGTAGCAGCCGTCATATTGTACTGGCAGGTGTGACCGAGGTAAGGACGCTCGCACTTGCAATAAAAATCGCGCCAACGATCGGTGCAATGGCCGCCATTCTTGCAAGGATTCGGCGAACACTGAGCTTCACGAGGACAGCCTGGTTCCACGTCCTCCATGTACACAGTTTTCGATGTTGTACCAGAGTAGACCTAAGATATAAATTTAAAGATGTAAAACATTGTTGTACAAATTTTGAAGATGGCTTAATTTAGTTTGATAGTTTAACCTATTGAGAAATTATTTTGATAATTGTAAATTGAAAAAAATAAGTAATCAAAATATATACCCATTCGCCATTAATGACGACATCTTCCATGCAGCCAACGAAGAAAGTGAATGAAGGTAAACGAGACAATCTTCTTAGAAAGCTAAGAGAGCTGATGTGGCTACCGCCTACGAAAGTGGTAGGAAAAGACGTATGATTTGATGAGTTAGAACCCTCGTTAGGACTGATGGGATAGATAGTTTGCTCCTCGTTGGCCGAAAGAACGAGATGAGTCGCATTGATCGCGACGAAGGCTTTTTGCCAATTGGAATCATTGAGTCCACTACCTACGAAAACTCCGTCCCATTTGTTCAATATGCTGGAGTGTATGTTGAGCTTGCCATTTACTAACTGAAGGATATAAATGGTCACCCCTCTGCCGATCGCCAGAAGACCGTTCGGCAGAGTAGTTCTAAAGCGAAATTGGATATCGTAGCCTTCATCGCGTGTGGTATTCACCAGGACATATGAGCTGCCACTCAGAGACATCGTCGTCACCTGTAAATTTTAAGATATTATTTTTAATAAAAATATCAGCATATTTATGTGTATCTTTCTTGACAATTAATCGGAAATATTTTGGAAAGAATTCAACGCGATTGCGATAAAGCATATCTAATTAAGTATATAAATATATATAATTATGATTATTTATTATATATTTTATTGATTGAGTTATTTTGATTTTCACTAAAACAATTATTGTTATATTTTTTATAATTTACGTTAACAACAATTTTTATACATTTTATATTTTATTATACTTTTTGTCATAAAGTCTTTTATTATTACAAGTCTGTTATTATTACAATTAATAAAGGAAAAGAAAAAATTACATAAACACTTACATAATTGCAGACTTCGCCATGATAACCATTGGGACAGGTACAATTGAATTTGTGAATGGTTTCGTCGACGAGGTAAGGCCAGCAAGTGCCACCGTTTTGGCAAGCATTGCCTTGACAGCCAATCAGCTTTACCGAGCAGTTTTTACCACCGTATTCCGAATCGCAAGTGCAAAAATAGTCAGCTCTGCCATCGATGCATATTCCATGTTCGCAGGGATTGTACTTTTTGCATTCATCGATTTCGTGCTGACAATGATCTCCCTCGAAGCCTTCGTCGCATTCGCACGTATAACCACCGATACGATCCATGCAGGTGCCCGGGCCACAGGGATTACTATCGCACTCATTGATATTTATCTCACAATTTTTACCGGTGACACCTTGCACGCAAAGACACTCATACCTATCGAGATTTTATTAACTCTTAGTCCTAGTTTTGACAAAAGGAATGGAATATAAAAGAATACAAAGATATTTAAAGTCGCGAATTTTAATAATTCATAATCTTGTAAATTTTAGTATTATGTTTGTTATGAGTATCTTAAATATTTTTAATTTGGAGGTAAAATAAAAAGTCATCTCTGTTCAAAATTAATGAAATTAATAAAATTACAGAATTATTACTAGAAAATAATTTCACATATTTCATTGTTGTAAAATTAAAATTAGAATCTTGTGCAAAGTTAAAATAATAAAAATGTCAATATCTTATATATAATACACATAAATATGTATATTCACTGAATGTTAATTCACAGATATTTACACACAAACGGTTTTATATTTATTATATTATAATAAAAATTTAACGTTTTTGCAAAAAGAATCAAAGATTAAAAGATTTATTTAAAAACTCACCCGCTGGCATTGCTATAACTAAACTCCTGATTGAAAATTGCAGGTAAGTTGAGGAGTTCGTTCTTGTAGAGTTCCCTATTTGACCGTTCAAGACAAGTGCCATTGTACTGACAAGGCGAGCTCTCGCATTCATTTACGTCCACTTCGCAGTTTCTACCAGTGTAACCAGCGTAGCATTGGCATTTGTAATTCTTAATGTCATCCACACAGTTACCGCCGTTTACGCACGGCTGCGAGAGGCATTCGTTGATATTCTCCTCGCAATGTGGACCCTTAAAAATTTATAAAAGAATTTTAAACATTACAAAATTATAAAAATTTATAAATAATTTAATGCTTTGCACAGACTAGATACCTATTGATGCGACTAAAAAACATTGTATTTTAAAGTGACTAAGAATAATATTATCTTTTACAATATTCTATAAACAGGTGATATTTTGTACAGATGAATAACAAAATAAATCTTTTTTCATTGTTATAATAGAATATAATAAATCCTACCTCGAAGCCGGTATCACTGCAATCGCAAGTATAACTGTTTATGCCATCGATGCATTTTCCCAAATTCAAGCAGGGCGACGATTTACACTCATCGATGTCAATTTCACAATTGGCACCCAGAAAACCTGCCGGGCATACGCACTTGTATGACGCTATGCTATTTATGCATCGTGCTCCGTTTAAACACGGGTTGCTATCACACTCGTTTACATCTACTTCGCAGGTTTTGCCGGTGTAACCGGGTTGACACAAACACTGAAACGTATTGATGCCGTCGAGGCACGTGGCATTATTTTTGCACGGGCCACATAGGCACTCATCGATGTTAATGTCACAGTGATCGCCGGAGAAACCCGGCCGACAGAAACAATTGTAACTACCCTCATTATTAAGGCAGATGCCATTGTTGCATAAAGAATTGCCATGTAAGTCGCATTCGTCCACATCAAGATCACAGTATTTGCCTGAAAATGAAGTTTAATGTTTATCATTTGGTTTTTGTCACAGAAGAATGTATATTTTTATAACATATATTTTTTATCTTTCTATTCAGTAATAATAAAAAAAAGACTTATTTTTCAATAAACAAAAGTATTTCTCGAGTTATTTAAAAAAATATATAAAAAAATAAAATAATAAATTAATATAAAATATTATAACATAACATATATTAAATGTAATTAAGAAAGTATCTGGGATTGTTATACTTAATTTTAAAAATTAAGTATAACAATCCCAGATAGACATATTTCAGTAGATTGCCTGTGTAATGACAACATTAAAATTGAAAATGCTTGCATAACATTAAAAGATGCGTCCTCATATGACATGAGTATTATCAGCAAGTGAAAGGATCCTCTAATGCTGTGAAAATTGCGAAAATATGCTGCTTATTTTGTCAGAAATAAAACTCACAACTACATTATAATAGAATAATGTTAAATTAACATTTTGTCAAATAGCTTGTTGCAATTATTGTTTCTACAAAAGATTACAATTATAACCTAATTTAATATTATAATTTTTTAACATTTTTTATAATAATTGCAGTTGTGCATTTGTAACAAAGTGAAACAATAAAATATACAAAATATATATGTTAACACTTATAGAAATTTAATTATTACTAGTAAGTCCAAATAATCACTTATTTCGAGTACTTAAATTACTGATATACAGTAATTTAAGTACTCGAAATAAGTGATTATTTGGACTTACTAGTGATAAATTTCTATAAGGGAATATGACATAATGCACAATTAAAATTTATTAAAATGATTCGTAAATATATGCTGTTCTAACTACATTACAGAGTATACATAAAATGTTTGCATACCTGTCTATTTGAGATATTATTCAGAATAATTTAAGTTATTATTTTTAATAAAACTCATAGAAATAATAAGTTAAAAAGAAAATACAAATTAAATTGTGTTTTGTAGAATTAATAATAATAAATAATCGAAGAGGTTAACGAATTAAAAAAATTAATGATTAAAAATAACATAATACATGTACGTAATCTAACTATAATATTTTTTCAAATTCCGAAATATTTTTGATCGGTCTTGCAATGGTGTAAACAATTGCTTGGATTTGATAGATGTTACCTTGAAAACCGCTTGTACACTTGCATTCAAAGCCACGTTCGCCGAAGTCGATGCACGTGCCGTTGTTACATGGTTTCGTGGCACAGTGGTCTACAATTAGTGTACAATTGGGATCTCTGTACCCTTCGCGACATTTACATTCGTAAGCTGCAACACCGTCGACACAAACCTTATCATCAGGACACACTACACCTATACAATCGTCGACGTTCACGTCGCATACCTTGAATCATTATCACATTATAAATGTGTTATTATGTATATATACATCCTATATATTATACATATATGTGTTCAGACGGTATTTTCTTATATTTTTTATGTTTATTATGTATGTATTATTATTTATATACGTGTATATTTTACTTATATATTTTATAATTATATTTTTTTTATACTTATAAAAATATCATCATGCTTTACGATACCTTGCCTTCGAAGCCATGTGGACATTCGCAAACGAAATCTCTCTTCGATCTCGATATCAGTGTACAAGTACCATTGTTTTGGCAAGGATTTACAGCGCATGCATCATATTCCCGTTCGCAATTATCACCTATAAAATCTCTAGTACAATTACAGATATATCCATTGACGCGATCGATGCAAATACCGCCGTTTTGACACGGCTGTGACAGGCACTCATCTACATTCAACTGGCAGTTTTTTCCTGCGAAAACATTGCTTTAATTATATCAACTCCAATATTTTATTATATTGATATTTCACTTTTGTTTTTTTTCTCTGAATTTTTAGTTATAATATTAAATTTCTAAAAGAAGAGTTTTCTCTTCAAGATCTACCGAGTGTTTGCTTTTCATTTAGCTAAAAATTTTAGTATTAAGATGAAAGCTAATACTTCACAAAATTAAAGGAGCAAACAAATATGGTTAATAAGATGAGAATGAATAACTTTATCTTTGATATTCTTACCTCTCCATTCAGGTAAACAAGTACAGTCAAAATCATCCCTGGTACTGGTGCAAGTACCACCATTGGCGCAGGGATTGCTGGCACAATAATTGACGGTACAATTGGGCGGATTACCCATAAAGCCAGGATTGCAGACGCATTGGGGTCCATGGGTGTCTTCCACGCAGATACTGTTGGGTGGACAGGCCGCATTCTCGCAAAGACCTTTCAGTTCGCAATGGCGGCCTGTGAATCCTGGGAGACATTCACAGTGATAAGTGCCAACGTCATCGATGCACTTGCCACCGTTGGCGCAAGGTCCGGATAAGCATTCGTTTAAATTGAGTTCACAATTTTGACCTTCGAAACCTCTCGGGCAACTGCAAATGTAGGTGCCATATAAGTCGAAGCATTTGCCATTGTTCAGGCATGGATTTGCTTGACATTCGTCGATGTCCTCTTCGCAATTGATACCCTCGTAGCTGAGGAGCGAGAAATAAAAATTGCATGTGTGTAATGTAGAAAATCGAAGATGGAGAATATATAAAACCAATCTATATGTATAGCGCTTCGTTTCTGCAATTTAAAAACTTTGGAATATTTTGAAATCTGTAGATATCGATAGATCTATATATCAAAGTTTAAAAAAAATAGACATTTAATTAAAAATTTTAGAATATATAAATATCTATTGTATTATGTTTCACGATTTCAATATTACATATTTGAAAAAATGATAAAATACGCAAACAGAATGTGTAAAATAAAATATAAATCGAACAACGATCCGATCATTCGAATTGTACAATAGATCGCAATTAAATTCATTGCCATTATTAAATATAAAATAATTTCTCAATTTGAAAGAGACTCACCCAGTCCTGTCGCATTTACAGGTATAATTATTGATCCCATCAATGCAGATACCACCGTTCTTGCATGGATTCGAGGCACATTCGTTAATATTAATTTCGCAATTTTTTCCAATCCAACCAACTTGACATTCACATTTATACTCGCTATCTGTCAGCGATATACAAACGCCATCGTTTCTACATGGATTCTGCTCACATAGTCGCACTCCTAGCTGAGATTCACAGAGGTTACCAGTAAATCCGGGTTTACAATTGCAGACAAAATCACCATCCTCGTTTTCGCTGCAAATGCCGCCATTGTGGCAGGGTTTGCTCTCGCAAGGTGGACCTATGAAAGACACGCGAAAAGATTCATTAATTTGATCAATGATAATTTTGAAAAAGTCTATGAAAGAAGATACGAAATAACACTGATTTTAATTGATGCTAATATTAATTAATTGTACGCGGAAAAAAGTGAGATTGTACATTTTTAATTATTCATGGTTAATAAAATAATTATATAAATATAGATAAAAAAATTTACTTGTTAGAAACGTTAAGCGTATTTTATATTCCGTTTAGAACAAGAATACAGACTGCGGTATTTCTTTATGCACGCAGTAACACTGATGTGTTCAATTGTGCAACTTCTTATGAAGTAATTAGCTGAACTTTGATTTAAGGCGATTTTCTTGAGAAGCAACATTGATAAAAGCAGGGAAGAGACAATACAATAATATTTAAAATCACTGAGCATGACTTTGAAGCAGATGTCTTCTACGCCTGAGAGTGTTTCTATGATTTTTATATACAAGAATTGTTTCAAAACAAAATAGATCTACAGCTACACAAACGCAAATCAGCAAAGAACGATGCAAATTTCATACCCATTCTATCACACGGTAGTGTATCTCCTCTTAAAACTTTAATCTCTTATAAAAATGTAAGTACTATGTATTTTAAAATTGTATGTGTATATGTGTAAATGTGATAATTAACTATTAATAAATAATTTGAGACTTAATTATGTTACACATACGTATATGTAAACATACGCGTTTTACTATACTATATTTAAAATCGCTATTAAAATTTGCTATTTAATCTTTTTTAGTTAGATGTTTCTTTAATCTAGATTTAATTTTCACTTTTTATAATTCATATAGAGTTCACAAGAAAAGTTCGCGTAATAACTCTACAGCAGGATGATATATTTTCTCATCGTGCGATCATGTAATTACAACGTTGTGACATAATATTTCCGTTTAACGCGCGCGTTGGGTATGAATCCGCTCGTCCCACATAAATGCCGCATAAACCCCACGTAATCGAGATATCGACGAGGTCTACCATTGTCGATCTGGCAGTTGTTGCCGGAGTACCGGGCGTAACAGTGGCATTCGTAACGATCCTGCCGCGACACGCATTTACCATGCATCATGCATGGTTCGTGGTGACAGAAATCCATGGTGGAGGTTGTAACGGAAGTTGCTCCCGTACCACTCGCGGGACTGCTCGTTCCACCTGAAAGTTTCTTGTTTTTCACACAACTCGCATGCAATATCTCTCTCTCCTTCTCTTTCTCTCTTGATGCGCATCTACATATAGCTATACATATTCTACGAACTTTGAAAACAGCAAACATATGTGTGCTTTACTCGGAAAAAAGAAATGTGCCACTACTTTGAACTCGCAATCCAATCTTAAAAAAAAAAAATTATGGTAAAAGATTTTAAGAAACTATCTTAAATAGACTGTCTCTGAAATGATAAAAAAATCTTTCTCCATCCTAATTCTGAAATAAATTTTTTATAACTGATTGTAAAATCCAACACAAACAATTCTATAAATATGTGATTAATATATGTTTATAATTAAAATACCAAAACGACGATATGTACTATATGTACATTAAATGGAAAAAGAAGAAATAATTAATATAATATAATAAAATAAAGTTAAATAAATGTAAATATTCAAATTTTCTAGTAAAATGTACAATAGAATTTTATATATGTAATACAATTAAATCTTATAGTTTATAGTCACTGTTAAATTTTTCTTTAAAAATTCTCCTCATTTATAAATATTTGTTATTTCTCTAGCTCTTGATTTTATTCCAAGATTAATTGATGTCTTATGGTTATCAATTCGTTACTTGCTGCAACTTATTTAAGAAACTAACAATAAAAATGTTCAATTTTCGTCGAGCGCGATATCAATCTACTTTATTACAACATGTTATAGCTTGATAGCTCCAACTAATTTTCCGATCTAAGGCTGTTCTACTTATTCGTGTGATGACTACGTTTATCGATCTATCTTATTACTGAGCGTGCTTATTCAACGTTTTTTCAGTGCAGAAGAATAATCTACCATGAATAACTTGAATAACTTGATTGAGACAAATTTATAGACAAATCATGTATCCTTACATCCTTTGATAGTCAATGGGCAAGGTCCAAAAACTGCTCCGTTATTGATGCTGTCGTTGAATAGGATTCCAGGTCCATGCAGAATGCATCCTTTAAACTCTTCGCCAATTATGAGTGAACTGTTTACGTCGTAATCGGGAAGCGTCAGAATGGCAGAATTATAAGTCGCGTTTGCAATCACCTAAAGAAAACAACTCCTATATATCTATCTTGCTTAAAAATTAAAATTGACTTTTTTATCATATTTTTTCGCATATTTTTCAATCAATAATAATTAAACAGCTATAAAATATGTATATAAACTAATCTTAACAACATTACACACACAGTTTGAAGAAAAAATGTTTAAATGTCGCAAATTTGAAGTTAACAAAATTAAATGTATTTACTTATAATTTTACTTTTTTAAATGTATTTAATTATTATTTTTATCTCATGTACAAAATCTAATGCAATATTATAATGCGTTATTGAATTAACAAGTTATTTAATATTACGTTTATATTCAATTAAAAATGGAACATTCGAAATATAAAATTATTTTATAATATTTTCTTATTATATGCAATTTTTATATTATTTTAAGTAATGTGTATTTACTTGAGTATGTCCTGCGGCATTTAAAGTGAGATTGCCCAGTCTGAAGAAAAGATTGACGTTGTGCCAGATATTGTTGAGCAATCTGGCGTTCAGTCTAGCCCAATACCTTTGCTGATCGACTACAGCAACAAAGAGTAGTCCCTCGGGCGTCACCTCGAGACTGATGGAATCATCGTTGTACTTTTGCAGAAACAACCGACCGGGATCGCATGTGCGAAAGCTGAGACCACTGTGACGATGCACGGACACGAAAGAATTCAGCTTCAGGAACGCTGAGCCATTGAAATAGGCTTCGCGCGGATACTCTTCGTAGTTTCGACGTCTGAGATTCTGGGGAGCTCCCTGAACGATAGCCAACAAAATGGCTAGAACTGTAACAGAAACCAAAGATTCTTTTAGAAAACTATAAGTCATTTTCATACTTTTGGATTTTATGTCACACACTTCACTGTCTCATAAATTTTGAATCCTTTTTAATTTTGATATCATAGTTGTTGCAAAAATAAGTATTTTGTTTTGTAGGAATATTACATATAACAATTTTTTATATCAAAGTCTGCCTATTATCTCGATTATATTAGGGAAATTTACTATACGCATGGATTTTTGCTTCAATTTTCGCTGTCATTTCTGGTTGCAACATGTTACAAGTACTGACATGTGCATTGTTGATGAGAATATATACAATTTTTTTTGCTTTTACTGCAATAATCGCGATAATCGATAAACACGATATTTGTTTTGTGCTTGCAACATGCTGACACAGTTTTAGAATCTTCACAAATATATAATAAAAAATATTACATCTTGATTTAAAAATGAATTTAAAACTAGAGAAAAAAGTAGTTTCCTTTTGCTTATTATACTCTTCTTATTAATATTATATATGGTATTATATATAATAATATAATAACAATTTTAATCTTTATCAATATTATTATCTATTTTATTATATAATAAAGTTTTATTAAAATAATTCACAATAATGCAATATATAATTAATAATTTTTATATTTTTATATATAGTATAATCTATTTTTTTAATAAAAATAAATACTATAACTTGAGATAAATATAAATACAAAATGTACATAAGAAGTTATTATTTTAGGAAATTCTAAAAATTATTATTATATTTTTATAATGTTATTCTAAGAGAGGATATTTTCTTTTTTAATAATTAAAGACTGACATCACGAAAAATAAGTAGGTGAAAGAGTAATAATTGTGTAGATAAAAGAGAATGCACTTTCATCGGAACAATTCTTAAAGATGCAATTTTCGTCTGACGACGGAGGCCACTTTCGAAAAGAATATCTCTTGAAAGATTTATTCTTTGCTTATTATTGTTTGCAAAGAAATGCCATATATTTAGAACAAGATGTGTGACGAAATGTGTGATCAAAAGATATTTTTTGTCAAAGATACAAATCTTGCGACGATTGACAATAAGATCAAGCGAACAATTTATGAATCTCTTCTTCCGAAAAGTATAAACTTTGCTGAAAAATTGGAGTAAAATTAAATAAAATTAAATAAATAAAGAAATATAATTAGAATTACATAAAGAAACAAATTTTTTTAAATCTTGCACTTATATTTTTGAACAAAAAATTAGATTAAATAAAAATTGAAATAAACATTGAATAAAAAAATAAGAGAAAAGCGAAAGAGAGAGGGAAGGGGGGGAAGAAAAGGAAAAAATTAAATAAAAAATTAACAAAGATTATTTCTATTAAGCTTGTAATTATATGCATATAATATGTTTAAGACTTTTTACAAATATTTTAAATCTCTGCCTATTCCAGAGAGAGACTTAAATGAAGCGATTTGTTACTTTCTCGTCCAATTAAAAAAGAAAAAAAATTGAAAAAAAAGAAAATGAAATTGAAAAAAGATTTAATTGTATATACATATATACATAACATTTCTTTTTAATTTTAATTAGTTGATAAAGCTATTTATTTTAACTATTCTTTGAAATAAGTCGGCATTTGTGAACAAGACTTGCGAGAAAAATGCAGTTTCACATTGTGATACATGCCAAATTACATAACGCTTCTCTCTTGTGTGCCGTTATCTTCAAGGATAAATTAGGATATCATCCCAAACGCTTACGTTTACATTTACGTGAGAAAAGAATCGCTCATATATTCATTCATGCACACAATTTATGTACACATAAAACTTTAATCTCTGCTAACATTGGTTCTTGAAGATTTGTGTTCCTATAAATATAAATTTTACAACATTTCATTCTTAACTTCAACATCCTTGTGTACTTTTATATGTCTAAAATTAAAGTTTCATTAAATTTTACTAAAATTCGATAATTTCTTTATATTAAAATTTATGGACTTTTTCGTACAATTTTAGTTTATTCAAGTACATTCGGTTTCAAGGCTATTGAATGTTTTACGATTATACAGATTTTTGTTATTAAGATTCTATAAATATTCATCCTTGTTATTGTGAAAGAACACGTACAAAATAAAATTGTTTTAGTATAAAATTTTTGCACTACGAGAGCATTTTATGTCGTGTGCGTGTGAATTGAATTCATGCATTATTTATCGGTCATCATTTTCTTCCACTGTCAATACAATACATTTGGTCGCAAACACTAAAAAAATTATGATTAATTACAGATCCACAAGAATTCGGAAAACTATATATATATATAGAAAGAGATTTGGGATTTTTTTAAATTTGAAATCTGACAGTCCACAAGTAATGGAAAAAAAATCATAGAAGGTGTAATAAAGTCTTGAGATATATCGTCAAGTCTTGCTAATGTTTACGATTAAGATCAGAGTTAGTTTTATTTCTCGAGATTTTACAATATATTCCTCTACTCCTTTTTGCGCGATTACTCGAGTAGATCCTTAAGTTGATAAATTCTCAGTACTGTAGATTAAGAACGATATAAATAATTAATTTCACACAATCTTTGGTTTCATAAATTCTACCTCATTATTTGTGTAGAAAAATTGCACAATTGTAAATTTTAATTCAAGTATGATTACTCTAGCTGAACGTCATTAATAGACATACATATAAAAACATTTATATACAATTGCTCCATTCAACAGTTAGAAATAGACTGATTAATCCATTAGTGTCGCTATCCTGTTTTCGTTTAATGCAATCTAAAGTACATAAACGAGAAAAAGTAGTAAAAATAGAGTAATGATTTTTGTTGCGGGCCAGAGATCGCTGTGAGGAATCAAAAAATGTGCGGACCTCGATTCGACAAATCACGAATATACTGCGCATTCTATTCAAAGCAATTTCCCAAACTGCCGTTAGAAAGCATAATTTAATGTGTAATCCGTAAGAATACCGCAGGTGTACATTTACGGGACATCTGCGAGATATATATAATCACGAAAAAATATGCTCAGCATATTATGCTGTGTATTTCAAGTATAAAGATACATTAAGAAAAAATTATGCTTTATGCTTATAGCGGAAATGATGTAATTAAATTATCTGTTAATTTTCTTCTGATTCTTTTCTTCATCTTTATTTTAAAAAAAATTTCCATTTCGTGAAACAAGCAGCTTATAATTACACACGTCCTTTATATTAAAAAAACGTAACAAAGTGTAAAATATTATACTTATATTGCAACAAAATGTAAAAATTTTCAATTTCAATTCATGATTCAATATCACTTATATGATTGACAGTCGTTGGAAATAAAAATGAGAGAATTCACATATTATATAACATCATCTTCAAGTAATCTAAAATCTAAAATTAAAAAATATGATATATTATATAATTTTCACAGCAATGTACCTACATATATTTTCCGTACAATATTCTAAGTAATATGAAAATATGAAATAAATAATACAAAAATAAAATATTTTTGTTTTTTCTAAAATTTAAAAAATGTGAGATTAATAATTCTTTTATACAAAAATGCGTAGATATAAGATACGTATATACATATATAAACGAAGTTTTTCACTAATTGTAAGAAGCAATATGCTCTCTTTGCACTCCTGTCATATACATATATTGTTTTTTCCTTCAATTAATGGAAAAATATTATTAACAATTTCTTTAAGAAAAAATTTATCAATATAATTAAACGGAAATGTCCAATCCAAACCGCGTTTATTCTTTACAAAATACAAAAATAAAATTCTCTTATATATGGATTCCTCTTCGCCGTTTGCAATAAATTGTTTATTTTACATGATTCATAAAATTTAGAATGTATTTCTATATGTAGAATTTATCTATACGGAATTCTCTATTTATTAGTTCCATATGTATCTCATATATTTTATTTTTTAAAACCTATGTACCAATTATAAATGACAAAATATATGCATGTGACTATATTATACATACATATACTATATATATATATATATATATATATATATATAATAAATTAAAGAGAATCATCAAGTGATTTGCGTATCAAATGATCTACGCGACACTATTTGTGATACACACATAATAATTATAATAGCTGCAATACCTATTAATAATATACTATTCGAATTTCTATTCTGTTAATTCTGACTGTCAAGTTTCTAGTCTAATAGCGAGATCGCAAAAAACAAGACTGTTTGAAAAAGCGGTGTACAATGCAAAACAAAGAGAATTGTGCTCGCGAGGCTCGACGAAGGCGTGGCGATTGTGAGTTGTGAGTCAGTTGATTCATATAACTTGGCTCTCGTAGGTGAATAAGGTGAATATACCGACGAGTTCTGGAGAACGCTCTCAAACTTGCGCGAAGCGACTTAATATGACTGCTGCCATGTAGTACGGAGACGATAAACATCAGATTCCGTCACTACATTGAAAACGATACGAAAACCATTCGTTTGCTAAATGAAAAACAGATTAAATGTAGATTTTAATTTTGTGCGTATACGTGCAGGCACTGATGTACATATACAGGAAATTATATATATATATAAATAAATCTTTAAAGTAATTAATGTACATCATTATATGAAATATCAGAAATAAAATAAATAACACACATTTTTAAATTGTAATTATAATCATATAAATCTTTAAAATAATTAATAATTTTAATAAAAAATTTGTCCAGAAAATTAAAAAAAAATGTTTATAATTGCAAAATATTTTCACACAGAAATGGATATTGATTCTTATTGTTAGAAGAAAGAAAAAAGAGAGAGAGAGAGAGAGAGAGAGAGAGAGAGAGAAAGAGAGAGAGAGAGTTCTACAACTAGAACAGATCGAATCGTTGCACGTGGCCGAGTTAGTTGCGACGCTTTCGGTTCACTGACACGTGGGAATTCAACGATCGTGTTATGCATTGCGTCGTCTATAAACGTGCAACGATCGCACGCGCACATCGTAATAAGAAGTTTCT